TTCAAAACCAACAATATTACACACAACAAACATCAAACAATACATCACAACCACACATAACACTGTGTAACACTCAGAGACCTGACCACAGTTACATCAGTCCTCCTAAATCCCTGTTGATGAAGCATTCTAAACTAATCAAGGTCTTTTTAATCTATGAGAGCAAAAATAAAGTTTTGAACCTCCCTAAATCTGCACTTCTGCTGATTTTCTATCATTTATGAGCTCCTAGAGTCAATAAAGCTTCAGAATCAGCAGAGTGTAGAGTTCAGTGATGAAAGAGGAGAGAGTGAAAAGCCTCTCTGTTCAGCTTCTATGGATTTTTTTGTGCTTAAAAATGAAAGAGCCCTGAAGAACGAAGAGCAGAGAGAGAGAATCAGAGAGTGGAGCTGAGGAAACGCCAGTCTGTCACACTAACGCATTAAAGGGCCCATAGCATGGAAACCCATTCAGCCTACAGCAGTTTAGCCCCGCCCATTCATGCTGAAGTTATAAGCAGTGTTAGACACTCCTGATTTAGACATCAGTGCTAACTGGTGGGGTATAAGCTTCCATTACATTCGCCTCGTAGCTCCAGGAGAACTTGCAGAGAGGAGAATTACCACTCTGCAGTGTCTTCCGATACATTGCAGAATTCAACGCTAGAGGGCGCTCCGGAGTGAGTCCAAAATGAATGGGTGGGTTGATATCAGGCATTTGAGCAAAATCATAGTTTATAAATGCTTAAACATTTTTAATGGAAATTAATTCAGTCATTTCCTGAACATAGAATAAAGCATTTCAATACTGCTGTTATATTTATAAGAGCTTTTAAACTCGAGTTATAGGAGTTTAAAACGGCGCCTCATGTACGTCCATGACGTCTGTGAGCGCGAACAGCCAATGAGCTGCTCCGCTCGCCAACCAATCATCACGCTCTAGCAGTAATGCCCGCCTTCTGCTGCCCAAAACACGTTTGCTGTAGAAAAAAGGAAATATATCGGTAAGATTTCTTAATGAAATACATTCTTCTACTTTCTAAAATTAAAGGAAAGTTCTGGTTCAGTGATTAGAAACTATTTTGACTTTCCGTTTTTAACCATTGAGCCCCCATTCATTAAGGACTCACTCGTGGGCGCCCTCTGCTGTTTAGCAGTCCTGTTTTTGATATAACGGGGGAAATAGGAAGTGGCCAGGCTCCTCATAAACCGGCTCTGCCTCCAGTGCTACAACTAAAGAAGCAAACTTCAGACACCAAACACGTTTCAGCTGATTGACTACATTTGGGATGCAAAAAGTCAATGTAGTTAACAGTAATGTAGTCTTATTTCTTTATCATGTGGTTTCTGACACTGTGTGACTCACTTATCTATAAACATGAACTGAAGTACTTTAGTATAAATAAACACAGTAGCAGCCTTCTTAAAGATTTAATTATGGGACATCATATAACAACACAAAGTCCGTCTTCATTTACAAAGTGAATAAAGTCTTTCCACACCGCTCTCAAGGTTTTTTGTCATAACAATGCCTCCCCCTGCTGGGTGAACTGTGCTCTGCACTCTGAATGTGAGGCTGTGCAGCAGAGCACTCCTTAAGGAGGACTTCCACCAAATCCTTTCCCAAATTTCTGCATAATTAAGTGGTTAAGGTGTAAACAGAGCGGTTCAGAGCGGTTCAGAGGGGTTTGGTGTGAAACGCTCCGTTCTAGATAAACTTACCGAGTCAGAATTGTTCACAGTGGTGGTGATAGGAACCAGACGTCCACCTCTAAAAGCTCCCTCACAGAAAGTTCCTACAGTAAATGGTTATGAATTCACTGCCTGATGACTGAGACACTGTTTTATGATAGTTTAGAGAACTTAAACTCCATTCATGGTGGAGGGATACATGCAGGGCACTGTGAGGCAAAATAGTCCCCAAAGAAAACTTATTATTTCAGATTTTCCACTATTTTCATCATCAACATTCCATATAAACTCAGAAGACTCGTGTAGGTTCACTGGTGGTTCTGGATAGTAAATAAAATGTCTATATTTGTGTTGTAGTCATGGCGACCCCTGGTTCCTATCACCACCACTGTAAAGACATCTGAACCATTTCACACCAAATCACTCTGAGTCACTCTGTTTACATCTCACACACTGAGCTATGGGGGATTTTGAAATATTGGTGGAATGTCCCTTTTGAACCATATTTTCTTTCTGTGTAAACAGCCTCTGAATGTTGTCTGGTCAGAAGCTGACCCCTGGCAGGTTAACCTCGCTGTGAGCCCAGGGTGACTCTGCCTAAAGGACAGAAGTGCTGTTTCTCTCCAAAACAAAACATTTCACAACCTTCAGTTCATGAGGCAGTTTGAACACTCAGCCTCTCACCTTTAGCCCAGAGCCGTGCGGAGGAGCAGCACCGTGTCGGAGTGGACAGGAGGAGAAGGGTCTCTCACTGACAGCGGACAACAATAAACAAACCAGAACATCACGTACAAATAAATAACCACACTAAAGTATTCATTCATTCTCATGAGCCTCGGCTGACTGGAATTAACAACAGCCACACCCACCTGATGCATATTCATAAATAATCACATGAGAAGAAACTTCACCTGATACCTGTAGACCACAGAAACTACCTTCACTAGGCTTCACAAGCATAAAGGGGAACTCCACCAATAGTTCCATAATTCCCCCATAATTCAGTCTGTGAGATGTAAACAGAGAGGTTTGTAGGACCCAGGGGTCGCCATGACTACAACACAAATATAGACATTTTATTTATTATCCAGAACCACCAGTGAACCTACACGAGTCTTCTGAGTGTATATGAATGTTGATGATGGAAAATAGTGGAAAATCTGAAATAATACGGCTCACAACACTCTGTCTGTCTGTCTTTCTATCTGTCTGCCTGTCTGTTTATCTGTCTGTCTGTCTGTCTATTTATCTATGTCTGTCTGTCTGTCTGTCTGTCTGTCTGTCTGTCTGTCTGTCTGTCTGTCTATCTATCTATATGTATGTCTTTCTATTTATCTGTCTGTCTTTCTATTTATCTGTCTATCTGTCTGTTCTATCTGTCTGTCTGTCTACATATCTATCTATCTATGTGTATGTCTGTCTTTCTATTTGTCTGTCTGTCTGTCTTTCTATCTATCTATCTATCTGTCTGTCTGTCTATCTGTGTCTGTCCGTCTGATAGATAGACAGATAGACAATCTATCTACCTACCTATCTATCTATCTATCTATCTATCTGTATGTATGTCTTTCTATTTATCTGTCTGTCTTTCTATTTATCTGTCTATCTGTCTGTGCTATCTGTCTGTCTGTCTACATATCTATCTATCTGTCTGTCTTTCTATCTATCTATCTATCTATCTGTATGTCTGTCTTTCTATTTGTCTGTCTGTCTTTCTTTCTATCTATCTATCTATCTGTCTGTCTGTCTGTCTGTCTGTCTGTCTGTCTGTGTCTGTCCGTCTGATAGATAGACAATCTATCTACCTATCTATCTATCTATCTATCTATCTGTCTGTCTGTCTGTCTGTCTGTCTATCTGTCTGTCTGTTATCTGTCTGTCTTTCTATGTATCTCTCTAACTTTCTGTCTGTCTCTCTGTGTCTGTCCGTCTGATAGATAGACAGATAGACAATCTATCTACCTATCTATCTATCTATCTGTATGTCTGTCTGTCTGTCTTTCTATCTGTCTGTCTGTTATCTGTCTGTCTTTCTATGTATCTCTCTACCTTTCTGTCTGTCTGTCTCTGTCCGTCTGATAGATAGACAGATAGACAATCTACTATCTATCTATCTATCTATCTATCTGTATGTCTGTCTGTCTGTCTTTCTATCTGTCTGTCTGTCTGTTATCTGTCTGTCTTTCTATGTATCTCTCTACCTTTCTGTCTGTCTGTCTCTGTGTCTGTCCGTCTGATAGATAGACGGATAGACAATCTATCTATCTATCTATCTATCTATCTATCTATCTATCTATCTGTCTGTCTGTCTATCTATTTGTCTATCTGTCTGTGCTATCTGTCTGTCTGTCTACATATCTATCTATCTGTCTGTCTTTCTATCTATCTATCTATCTATCTGTATGTCTGTCTTTCTATTTGTCTGTCTGTCTGTCTTTCTATCTATCTATCTATCTGTCTGTCTGTCTGTCTGTCTGTCTATCTGTGTCTGTCCGTCTGATAGATAGACAGATAGACAATCTATCTACCTATCTATCTATATGTCTGTCTGTCTGTCCTTCTATCTGTCTGTTATCTGTCTGTCTTTCTATGTATCTCTCTAACTTTCTGTCTGTCTCTCTGTGTCTGTCCGTCTGATAGATAGACAGATAGACAATCTATCTACCTATCTATCTATCTATCTATCTGTATGTCTGTCTGTCTGTCTTTCTATCTGTCTGTCTGTTATCTGTCTGTCTTTCTATGTATCTCTCTACCTTTCTGTCTGTCTGTCTCTGTCCGTCTGATAGATAGACAGATAGACAATCTAACTATCTATCTATCTATCTATCTATCTATCTGTATGTCTGTCTGTCTGTCTTTCTATCTGTCTGTCTGTTATCTGTCTGTCTTTCTATGTATCTCTCTACCTTTCTGTCTGTCTGTCTCTGTGTCTGTCCGTCTGATAGATAGACGGATAGACAATCTATCTATCTATCTATCTATCTATCTATCTATCTGTCTGTCTGTCTATCTATTTGTCTATCTGTGTTTCTATGTATCTCTCTACCTACCTGTCTGTCACTGTCTGTCTCTCTGTGTCTGTCCATCTGATTGATTGACTATCTAACTATCTATCTATCTATCTGTCTGTCTGTGTGTGTTAGTTATCAATGACAGCGCTGTAAAAGTGCGCAGAAATAAAACCCATTATTACTGTTATTATTCACAGCTGTGTAAAAGCCTAATGGAGTGAACCGATCTAAAGACTCCATTTCCCAGGATGCTCGGCTGCTGCTCTGTGATTGGCTGCAGGTCGCGGTGCCGGTGGATAAAGCGTTTTGGAGCTGATTGTTTAGAGTTCAGAGTGAGCTCGCGATGGCAGCGCGCTCGGAGTCGCGCGGAGGAGGAGAAGGAGGCGGAAAAGGATGCGGAGGAGGAGGCAGAGCAGTGTGTGTGAAGCTGCTGTGTGTGTGGAGTGTGTGCTCTGCTCTGAGTGTGGCCTACCTGCTGTACCTGCCGCTGCCCTCCGCGCTCTCGGAGCCCCTCAAACTCATGGTGGTCGCAGCTACCTTCAGGGGGGTCACTCAGGCGGTAAGAACACTGACATCTGACCTCTACGGCTCACAGGTGCCGCTGCTTCAGCATAGCATACGATATGATGCGGATACTAAAGGCTCACGTGACCTACAGCATCACCCCCATTTGCCCGCACTGCTAATTACCCTTAATTAGATCAGCAGGCCGGAGGAGGACACTGATGAGCACAGGTGACCGCGCGTTCAGTTAATTAGCCACGTTATTGTTCATTTCAGTCAAGCAGCGTCGTGTTAGTTACGCTCTATAGCCTTCATATGAAGGGTTTAATTAACCTTATAATTAATTACTTCTAATTAGCCCCCCTGCTGTGCCTCGTTAATCTCATCAGCCTATAAATGACGTTCAGTTTGTATCAGGTTCACCTGACATTAAGGACGCTCCGTTAATCCTGTCACTAATTAAGATCTGTTCTTATTGTACTTAATTAACCCCATCAGGCTGTTTAGTTCATGTGCCTTAATATTAATTAAATTCTTATTAATTAAGTTTAGCTAGTAATCTTACTGAGCTATAAACAATCTTTAGTTAGTATTAAGTGCAATTAATATTGAGGACATGCAATTAACCCTATAACTAATTATTCAATTAACTCTTATTGCTCAGTTAGGCCTTTCTGTACCCAATTAACCCTGTCAGGCTGTTTTGTGTATATGCCTTAGTGTTAAGGCTGTTTTATTAACCTTATCATTAATTATGTTTAATTAGCCTTATTGGTCATTGCAGTTTGTTAATTATTACTGTATTACTCATTATTGATTTATTGAACAATTAGTTGGATCAGTGATCCTTTTTTAATTAGGGTTTATTAGCCTTATGATTACTGGTGTTCTGTTGTCCTTATTACTGATGTTTAATTAATTAAAGTGCTTTATTATTGATGTTTAATTAACCTCACTGCTACTAACCACACAGCAGTGCCTGTTTAAGTTCTGCAGTCTGAATCTGTGTTTTGTTATAATTGAGGTTTTCCTTCATTATTAAATCTATTTTTTATTATTAATAATCTTAAACATGTGAAACAGATATGTACACTAGTTCTGTTTGACCTGTACTTGCTGTGATGTTTTATTCCGCCATGACTCTGTAACGCCCTTGTTGAGTCAGTGCTGGTGACCTTTGACCTGGTTGGCCGTGTCCAGGCCGTGTCCACTCTGCTGGCCGGCTGGAGCTGCTGTTCTGTGTGTGAGAATCAAAACTCAGAGTGAAGAGGTCATAATAACTCACACAGACTCAGAGCAGTGAAGGTGAACTCTGTGGTTTATACAGTCGCCACAGCAACAGGCAGCTGATTGGCCGCCAGCCCATAATGCTTTGCTGGAGCTCTGTGTGCGTTCCAACCTCTTAGTGAGCCTATAAATATCATAATACAGATAGTATTGTCTGTTTCCGGACCCCCGTCCCACCCGGTCATATTCGCTTCTAAACTGTACATGTAAAATAAATTACAGATAAACTAAATGACCGCTGCCTGCTCAGAGGGGCCCCCTGGTGGCTCGGGGACCCGAAGCAACTGTCCATGTATTTAAAGACATTTGTAAAAGTTGTTGACAGTTCCTCTTTTGTAGCCGGTGTTCAGGGAGGAGCCTGCAGGGCAGACGGAGGATTGGACGTTAAACATATGCATATTAAATCTGTCCAATCGCAGTGTTTACATTTAGAGTGTTATTCATTATTAATGGTATTTGTTTTGTGTATGTGTGGAAGGTCACATTGCTGGGAGAGATCGGGGGGTTTACTGTCGTACAGTTGACTGAATGTTAGTTAAATGGCTGATTTACTGTGGTTTACAGTCTGTTTACTCCTGATACTCAGGGCCTCAACCAGGGTGATATCGGTCAGTCTGTTTTTTCTTTTCCAGGGTGATATCGGTCAGTCTCTGTTTTTCTTTTTCAGGGTGATATCGGTCAGTCTGTTTTTTCTTTTCCAGGGTGATATCGGTCAGTCTCTGTTTTTCTTTTCCAGGGTGATATCGGTCTGTCTGTTTTTTCTTTTTCAGGGTGATATCGGTCAGTCTCTGGTTTTTCTTTTTCAGGGTGATATCGGTCAGTCTCTGGTTTTTCTTTTTCAGGGTGATATCGGTCAGTCTCTGTTTTTCTTTTCCAGGGTGATATCGGTCAGTCTCTGTTTTTCTTTTCCAGGGTGATATCGGTCAGTCTCTTTATTTTTCAGGGTGATATCGGTCAGTCTCTGTTTTTCTTTTTCAGGGTGATATCGGTCTGTCTGTTTTTTCTTTTTCAGGGTGATATCGGTCAGTCTCTGGTTTTTCTTTTTCAGGGTGATATCGGTCTGTCTGTTTTTTCTTTTTCAGGGTGATATCGGTCAGTCTCTGGTTTTTCTTTTTCAGGGTGATATCGGTCAGTCTCTGTTTTTCTTTTCCAGGGTGATATCGGTCAGTCTCTGTTTTTCTTTTCCAGGGTGATATCGGTCAGTCTGTTTTTCTTTTTCAGGGTGATATCGGTCAGTCTCTGTTTTTCTTTTCCAGGGTGATATCGGTCTGTCTTTTTTCTTTTTCAGGGTGATATCGGTCAGTCTCTGTTTTTCTTTTTCAGGGTGATATCGGTCAGTCTCTGTTTTTCTTTTTCAGGGTGATATCGGTCAGTCTCTGTTTTTCTTTTTCAGGGTGATATCGGTCAGTCTCTGGTTTTTCTTTTCCAGGGTGATATCGGTCTGTCCTTTTTCTTTTTCAGGGTGATATCGGTCAGTCTGTTTTTCTTTTTCAGGGTGATATCGGTCAGTCTCTGTTTTTCTTTTCCAGGGTGATATCGGTCTGTCTTTTTTGTTTTTCAGGGTGATATCGGTCAGTCTCTATTTTTTGCCTTTTCAGAGTGAAATCGGTCAGTCTCTGTTTTTCTTTTTCAGGATGATATCGGTCAGTCTCAGTTTTTTGCCTTTTCAGAGCGATATCAGTCAGTCTCTGTTTTTTCTTTTTCAGGGTGATATCAGTCAGTCTCTTTTTTTCTTTTTCAGGGTGATATCGGTCAGTCTGTTTTTTCTTTTTCAGGGTGATATCGGTCAGTCTCTATTTTTTGTCTTTTCAGAGCGAAATCGGTCAGTCTCTGTTTTTTCTTTTTCAGGGTGATATCGGTCAGTCTCTGGTTTTTCTTTTTCAGGGTGATATCGGTCAGTCTCTGTATTTTTTCTTTTTCAGGATGATGTTGGTCAGTCTGTTTTTTTTCTTTTCCAGGGTGATATCGGTCAGTCTCTGGGTTTGGTCCATCATATCCGGCTGATAAACACCGTAGTGACCGGGTTTGAGAGTTTGGTTCCTCTGGACTATGAGCACATTCAGACGGAGGACACAGAGTTCAGTGGGGTTCAGGTACGCGTTTATCAGCCCAGTGTAAACACACAGGACGGCCTGAGGGGGGCAGTAGTGTTCTTCCATGGAGGAGGGTGGTCACTCGGGGCTCCAAGTAAGCAGAATATCTGTGAATTTGTTTATGAATGTATGATACGTGCTATAAGTATTAAAGCAAAAACTGGTGTTGCGTACAGTTTGGTCCAACCCACTCAGCCTACAGCAGATTAGCCCCACCCACTCAGCCTACAGCAGATTAGCTCCATCCACTCAGCCTACAGCAGATTAGCTCCATCCACTCAGCCTACAGCAGATTAGCTCCATCCACTCAGCCTACAGCAGATTAGCTCCACCCACTCAGCCTACAGCAGATTAGCTCCACCCATTCAGCCTACAGCAGTTTAGCTCCACCCATTCAGCCTACAGCAGTTTAGCCCCGCCCATTCAGCCCACAGCAGTTTAGCCCCGCCCATGACTGCTTCATTAAAAGATAAAAGTCTCTGAATGTCACTGTACAGCCTGTAGTCTCAGCAGGTCAGTCTGCGTCTTTCATGCTGCATATAACAAATCAAAAACTACTGTGAAATGTAGCTCAATTGTACTGATAGCTACTCATCTTCGTTAGGTTTATACACTTGTGGGTCGTTACTGTAGCAACCAATTTGGACTAAGTGATGGAATGCAAGTACAGTCTGACCGTACAGATCAGATTTGGTCACTCATAAACATGAACTCTGAACAGTCGATATAAAAAATCAGATATAAGAAACGAATCCGATTTGCGCTGCGGTGGGTTCAAACCATACATTACACGTAATGTTATTTTTCCTGAACAAAATGTTGTTTTTGGTAAAAAATTCTGATTATAGTTTGGAATTATAGTCTAATTTATGTAAATGACGTGTGTTGTGTTTGTCAGAGCTGGGCTCGTACGACCTGCTGTGCAAGAAGATGGCGTCTGAGCTGAAGGCAGTGGTGGTGACGGTGGAGTGAGTGTTTTCCCACAATGCATTTCAGAGTGTTTAATGTACTGAATAGGCTTTTCAGCATTGAGACATTTTTGCTGACAGTAGCATGTAAACAACTGAGATGAGTCTGACTGTCTTTGGTTGTTCTTTGGTTACAGCACAGGCCTGATTAGCTGATTAGCCACTTCAGTTAACTTACTTACAGTGTAGCTCCAAACTGATGACAGAAACAGCTCAAATAAACAACACTACTCACTGCCGCCCTCTACAGGTGATACAGAACTAGCCAGAACTTATATTTACCTATATTTAGATTAAAAACCAACTGATGAAAATGCCTAATTAAATTGTGTGATGTAAACATACAGTTATGAAAAGTAATAACTGTAGAAAATAAGCTGAAATAATCGTGATCAGGTCAGTGTTTTTCCGTGTTTTTTCCTCTCTGTAGTTACCGGATGGCTCCGGATGCGCGTTTCCCGGTGCAGTTTGAGGACTGTCTGAAGGCCTCCAGGTTCTTCCTGCAGCCGAAGGTTCTGCAGCTGTACTCTGTGGATCCTCAGCGCGTGGCCGTGTGTGGAGACAGCGCGGGGGGGAACCTCGCAGCTGCAGTCGCCCAGCAGGTCAGCGCTGACTCGGTCACCTTAGTCTCGAATCACTTCTCTTAAAGAGACATGATCAAATATACACATAGACAAATAGAGACATTTGGTGCTGCCTTGGTTTTACGAGGCTAATGTTGCTCACAAGTAATAGAAGCTCATTTAAAGTAAAATTGCAAAATCTTCTGCATAATTAAATGGTAATCATTTAATGGATGTAAACAGAGCGGTTCAGAGTGGTTTGGTGTGAAACGCTCTGTTCTAGATAAACTTACCGAGTCAGAACTGTTCACAGTGGTGGTGATAGGAACCAGACGTCCACCTCTAAAAGCTCCCTCACAGAAAGTTCCTACATGAAATGGTTATGAATTCACTGCCTGATGACTGAGACACTGTTTTATGATAGTTCAGAGAACTTAAACTCCATTCATGGTGGAGGGATACATGCAGGGCGCTGTGAGGCAAAATAGTCCCCAAAGAAAACTTATTATTTCAGATTTTCCACTGTTTTCCCCCATTTTGTGGTGATGGCTTGGTGAAGTGCTGTCACAACTCCTAAAAGCGAAGCTGAGTTTTAAACTGACTTAATGATTCTGTAGGAACTCATGAACAAAGTGTGTCGACGTTGCTGTAAGTAAAGTCTTTATCTGAGTTGAATGTTCTTCACTCGTTTCTCTGTAGGGGTTTGTTATATACACTCGTTTTACTCTGTCAGCAACGACACGAAGACCAGCAGAAGAAGGTGTACATCTACCTTCAGACTCCCCGGACGAGGAACTAAACAGGCTCGCGCACATTTGGCACCATCCTATGACGGAGGAGTATAGGGTTCGGTTTTCCCACAGTTCTCTCTGTATTTCTGTACAAGAAAAGAAAACAACACGTACATTTCTGATTTGTATCTGATGATACAGACGATTCCGCTGAACTGGTTCAGAGTCAGAGCTGAAACACGTTTGGGATTTTAGCTGATCTTAGACTTTAGACTAAAATCCTTTTTCTCTGAGTGACTCTAAACCTGAATTATGATTATTTTATTAAAACTAATAATTAAACGTTCCATTCTGTCTCTACCAAAACAATCATAACTCTACCAAACTGTACCGAATGCTTCAGTAGTGACTGTTTCAGTGACAATTTTAGCTCATTTTGAGCTCAAACTCAGCAAGTAGAGACCAGCAAACACAGCTTTGAACAGCTGTTCACACAGAAAATCATCATATTTATCATTAAAACACTAAAAAGTGCTGAACTGCAGAAAATATGACGATTCTTAATGTTCCACACTGATTTTCAGACTTTGGGACTCATTTACTTCAAAACAATGGGATCTAACTGCTCACCATGTGGCCATGAGGGACAGGGATGAACCTCACTTCCTGCTCTAAAATGCAGGGGCGTGGCTAAAATAAGGCAGAGTCTTTCTTCCTCTTACTCTGAGTTTTTCTTGGCAGTGCTTATTAGGACTTGGACTCGGATTTCCTGTGAAGCTGCGATGTGACAACAGCTGTTGAAAAACGTGCTGCATACTAAATAAATGAACTTCAGACCCTCATCTGTTGCTAAAGGAGTGTATCACCAGGACGAGGTGGACAAGTTAGAATATTGCTAAAGCCGAAATGTGAAAAAGGATGATGGAAACGTGTTTTTCGGATAAATGATGACGTATCGAGCCATAATCAGGCTCGACTGACCCTCCAGACGGGCCGATCGCGGCGCGTAGCTGTCCGAAACCACACTGCCTGATCTGAAGCTCATTTGAAAAATGGCTCTGCATAATGAGCTCCACGGCTGTCTGGTGCATTTGGGCTCCTAGACGCGAGGTGGACGTTGCAGGGGTGGAGATTTCAGCCTCATTAGGCGGCCATCACTGAGCTGCAAACAACACAGCCATAAAAAGGCAGCAAACGGCTGTAAAAGCGATTCAACTTAACCTTTTCGACTCCTTCAGATCAAAACGCACTTCGTCATATTCTTCATAACTTTCATATTTCATAAGCTACATTCTAAAGGTGGGGGTCATATGAGGCTGTAACTGTCTTCTTTCCAGTCAAATAGATGGTGATGTCATTTTACACCCTCATAATAAAAGAAGCTGAACTCTTTTTTTTTTTTCTCTACTGAAAGTCGACCCATTTTTCCACAAATCTGGGCTATAAACTGTAAACAGATGGCGTCTCTTCAGTGATCTGATCTGTAAACATTATTTTTATAAAATAATACAAAGAGCGTCTCAGATTTTTGGCTTTCAGCAGTAAATTGTAAGCATATAGCAATATGTGTAGATCATAAAACACATTTTGTTAATTTGAGGGGAACTTTTACAAAAAATAAATAAAATAAAAATTGACATTAATTTCATGCAGCTACTGAATAATTTGCTTTATGATTTGGTCATGAAAATTCAAATGGACAAACCAAAATATACCCTGGAGAATAAGAGCAAAAAACAAGTGAAACCTCTCCATCTTACTCGTTTCGCTGCAGCCCCTGATCACGGTAGCCTGGTCATCTAAAGCTTCTTTGTAAAACTGTACACGACTTCATAAATGTTCCTCAGGAGAACCAGGACACAGTGTAAGATAGATGATTATGGGTAAAGGAAAAATATGAAAGAAAATCATAAGAATAAATGAAAAATAACCACAATAGTAAATAAAATGTATTTTCATTGTAGCCATCGTGACGCCTGGTTCCCGACGCTGTATGAGACGCTTTTATCTGTAAACATCAGAAAGTACATTCGTGTAGCTAAACCCTTGAAATTTTATGTTTTTACTAATGTGTATCACACTTTGTCTCCAGATCGGCCGAGACAACAGCACTGCTGGAAAGTTCAAGCTCCAGGTTTTGATCTACCCCGTGCTCCAGGCTCTGGACTTCAACACGGCTTCGTACCAGCAGAACCAGAAGATTCCCATCCTGTACCGCGAGCTGATGGCTCACTACTGGCTGGAGTACCTGGGCGCAGATCCTGAGCTCATTCATTCGCTTCTGCTGAACAACCACACGGCGCGCGACCAGAAGCTCGCCGACCCGCACCGAGCCAAACTCGACTGGACCAGAGTTCTGCCCAGAGATGTGACGAAACACTACAAGCCTGTGATTCCAGCCACCGGTTCTCCAGGGATCTTACAGAAGGTTCCGGCCCTGCTGGACGTCCGAGCGGCTCCCCTGCTGGCCGATCTGGAGGCGCTGAGGTCAGCCCCTCGCGCCTACATCATGACCGGCGAGCACGATGTGCTGAGGGACGACGGGCTGATGTACGTCCGCAGGCTGCAGCAGGCCGGCGTCTCCGTCACCAACCGGCACTACGAAGACGGTTTCCACGGCTGCGTTAGCTTCGCCTTCTGGCCTTCGTACTTCGCCGTCGGCATCCGGGTGGTGGACGACTACATCGCCTGGCTTCGGGATCATCTTTAGTTACTCGTTTTATCCTCCCTGGAGTATCTCTGCACTGTAAATCACTGCTGTCGGATCAGCATCTCGTAACTCCACGTCAAAACATGATGAACGGACCAATAGAAATGATCCTGATCTACTGAGAATAAAACCGCATTTCATTAACAGACGATAAAACCTAAAAGCGTTTTTAATGCTCTTATAAAGTTAAGCTACTTTTTTACTCTTTGCTGCTCTAGAACACCTGAACCAATCAGCTTAGCAGCTAATTAACCTCTCCAGGCTCCACCCACGAAAACCCACTCAACCTAAAGTAGAAATCTTCTACAGTTAAATCATGAAAAAACTGAATTACTGATTGTTGATACAGAAACTCAGAGAAAAATGATTTTTGAGAAACTTCTTCTTTAGCTTCATCTACCAAACCTGAGGTACGAAACCTGGGTGTGATCTTAGACTCTGAGCTCTGTTTTACCTGCATGTAAACACAGTCACTAAAGCAGCTTTTTACCGTTTCAGAAATATCGCTAAAGTTCAGCCTTTTCTCTCTCAGAGCGACGCAGAGAAACTTGTTTATGCATTTGTTCCAGCAGAGTTGATCACTGTAATGATCTTCTTACTGGACCTCCTAAGAAAACTACACATCCCTTACAACTCGGACAAAACGCAGCAGCATCCTAACAAAAACAACACAGAGATCAGATCAGTCCCATTTTGAAAGAGCTGCACTGGCTGCCTGGATCATTCAGGATAGATTTCAAGGTTCTGCTACCAGTCTTTAAAGCTCAAAACAACCTAGCACCTACTTACATCACAGAGTGTCTGTGTTTATGTTCCAGCACGTAATCTAAGATCTGCAGATAGTGGCCTTCTACAGACACCCTCTGTAAAATACAGAAAACATGGAGAGACTCTTTCAGTTATTCTGCTTCTAAACTGTGGAGCTCAGTTCACCTTTTATTAGACAGTCGAGCTCAGAGCTCACTTTTAAGAAGCATCTAAAACGTCTCTCTTTAACTCAGCATTTAACTAAAACTGAATGTCTCGTGGTTTTTATCTTGTAGTTTAATCTTCATTTTCTTCTGATTCTAATAAAGTTCTAATGATCTCTTCTATAACTGTTTTATCACCTGCCTGTAAAGCACTTTGAGCTGCCACCGGCATGAAAAGTGCTACATACATAAAAATATTGAATTATTATTATTATTAATGGTTTAGCATTGCTAGCTAGCTAAGTTAGCATCATAGTCAACACCACCAGCCACTGTAGCATGACGGACGTTACGTATCTGATTTGTAAACATTGCTGTTTAGCTACGTTTAGCTTAAGTGTAGCTTACACTGTTGGCTGCAACTTGGCCAAAGTTACTCTAAGGGATTCGCTAGCGTTGCTATCTAGCTAAGTTAGCGCAGTAGCCTACACTGCTAACTGCTGTAGCACAGCTGATGCAACCCTAGTTGCTAGTTAGCTAAGTTAGCATTTCAGCCTCCAGCATTACTGTAGCACGGCTGATCCAAGTCTGAGGGACTTGGTAACATTTCTAATTAGCAGTGTTACAAATTTGATTACATTTGAATAGAGATCCAGAAATAGTGCAGAATCTTAATATTTCTACTTTTTACTTCTCAAAATTTTTGATTCAAATGTTTTACATTATTTCCAGATGTAAAAAAAAATCTCAGAATTTCAGTCTGGTCTCAGAATTTTGGATCCCACTGTATTATGATTTTTGTGATTTTTGCCAATGTACAGTATCTATAGTAAAACATGTAGGTGGGCGGAGCCTGGAGAGGGCGTGTTGATTCAGATAGAGCACTGAACTGTGATGCAGAGGGATTCAGAAACACTGCCTTTGTATTTTACATTGTAGAAGAAGCAGAGCCCTGTTACGTCAGCAGGAGACTGCAGATCTTAACAAAGTGTTTGAAATGTATTAAACTGAGTTTTTTGTAGTCACAGTGATCATAGAGTATTATTCAGACAGTGTCCTCTTGAGCTAAATACTCAATAATTACTCACATATTTGTTTGAAAAACACTGATAATTATTCTTTTATTACACTCTGAGACTCACAGCACTTATAGAATGAGCACTTTAGAAATTCTGTGTGGTTGAACAGACAGACTGTCTCACTGAAGAGCAGCACAAATTACAGTGATTTTACGTTGTTGTTGTTGTTGTTGTTGTTGTTGTTGTTACTTATTGAAATGTGCTGTTCCATTAAGTAATCCAGGTGTTCTGAGTGTTTGATGTTAAAGCTGTAATGAGTAAAACGCCTTAATCAGACTTAAAGTGCAGCCTTTACGGTATTTAATATTAAAGGGTTCGAATCATGAAGAAACAGATTTTTATGAAGTATTAAAACGTTCCATTCATTCCCCATTAAATAGTCTGTATTTGGAAACTAGAATACAAAAATATCACATTTTGAATAAACTGTTGTTGTGATGTCATGAAAACCAATGCAATTTCATACATAATCTCAGGATTGCAGTTAAGCCCCGCCCACCCAGCCTACATCTGTTAAGCCCCGCCCACCCATCCTACAGCAGTTTAGCCCCACCCATTCACAGTTTCAGCCTGGACTCCTTGTTAAATGAGGCACAATACAGAACAGCCAATCAGAACAGCTCATTTACATGCATCACTCTTAAAGGCACAGTAACAGCCTGTTTGACTGTAAGTACTAAAGAGAGGCTGGAAAAAAATCATATAGAAATGAATTACGACTTTTTGTACATAAAACTACGTCTGATTTCCTGTAGAAAGCGGTTGATAGAACTCATTTCTGTGCTTGGTGCTGTTTTCTCTGTGGGGTTTATGGGCTGTGATGAATGTAGCATTTTCAGATTGGTGTTCAGATCAGTTTGTGTTCCATAGACCATCATTATAGTGAATCGTTATATATAAGTGCTGTTTGTGATGATGAGTCTTCAGTTTCTACTCTGCATTATTTCTCTGTGAACAAGTTTCCTTATGAAATATCACTGTTAAATGAAATAAAGGTATAAACCGTGTAGAAACTGGAGCCGCTGGTTTGTGTTCTGTATATGTGGACGAGCTCTGAGGAGGCGTCGCGGCTAAATTAGCCAGTATAACAGTAATTTAGTAGTTTAAATATAATTTAGTTTAATATTTACTGTGTCTGTGATGAGTCTTCAGTATAAAGAGCTCAGATAGAACGGTGTAATAGTTCTCACCTCAGACGCGGTGAAATCCTCAGGGTTTCAGGGCGTAACGGGAACATTTACACTCACTGGACACTTTATTAGGAACACCTGCACACCTGCTGAGTCACACAATCAGCCAATCAAACTGCAGAGCTTCAGGAACGCAAACTGGAAACAGGTGATCTGGATGTATCATTGCTTTCTTAGCAAAAAGAGCTCTGGAGAAAAAGCTTTTTTTGACTTAACATAAGTGGAACCCTTTAAGCATGCAAATGGTTCTGGGAGTGTTCATGATTCTATACAGAACCATTGCCTTCACTAAGGAACCTCTGGAGAACCTCCTGTAAGAGTGTAGCAGTGTTACTCTGAGTAAATCATTACAAATGCCTCATTCTCTCAAACTGTATTAAGCTCTACACTCAAAGATGGTTCTTCAATGGTTCTTTAGTAAAGAAAATGGTTCTATATAGAACCATGAACACTCATAGGACCCTTCGCATGATTACAGCTTCATGGTGAGCAGTTGGATCCCATTGTTTTGAAGTAAATGTGTCCCAAAGTCTGAAAATCAGTGTGGAACATTAAGAATCGTCATATTTTCTGCAGTTCAGCACTTTTTAGTGTTTTAATGTAAAATATGATGATTTTCTGTGTGAACAGCTGATCAAAGCTGCGTTTCTGAGCTCAAAATGGGCTAAAATTGTCAGTACCACTTTAAAATAAGACTACCCTTATAAGCTGTTTATTAATGGTTTAAAATGAGTTTATTAATGGTTATTCATTAGGTCATAAACACCTTAAAGATCATTAGTAAACACGTTATTAAAGGGGGAAAATGAGCTGTTACATCTGATGAAGCTGACAGTTTTAATGCTGACTGATGAAGAAGACAAAGTAAGAATTGTGATTTAACTACACACTTACGATGATGGTTCTTTAAGGGTTCTTTAAGAGAATGGTTCTATATAGAACCATGAACATTCAAAAAACCCATTTGCATGACTAAAGGGTTCTTTGCATCATGAAATGGTTCTTCAGATTGATGGAGAATAGAACCTTTATGCAAAGAGTTCTATAAAGCACCAAGAAGGGTTCTTCTATTGTAACAAGCCTGATACAGAACCAGCATTTTTAAGTGTGTATAAGAATGAATGCGGCTCACTGTTAGGCAAGTAACAGATCACTTTTGCCATTTGTCATTTGTGTTATAACTGTTTATTAATGCTTATATATATATAATACATTTATAAACACTTTATAAGGGTAGTCTTATTCTAAAGTGGTACCAAATTGTCACTGAAACAGTCACTGCTGAAACATTTGGTAGAGTTATGATTGTTTAGGTAGTGATAAAATGGAATTTTAATGATTAGTTTTAATAAAATAATCATAATTCAGGTTTAGAGTCACTCAGAGCAACAGGATTTTAGTCTGAAGTCTGAGATCAGTTAAAGTCTATATGTGTTTCAGCTCTGACTCTGAACCAGTTCAGCAGGGTGGTGTGTGTTCAGGAGTGAAACGGTCCACAAACTCATCATTCAGTTCAGAACAACACAGTGGCGTCTTATTAATATCAGTGCTACAGTCAGGATCGGCCCGTTCTCTACCAGAACCTTCTGCCCAGTGAACTCTGCTGCTTCTGGATGTCTCTAACGGTTATTGACACGTTCCTGTAGGGAGAACACGCAGTTCGGACAGAGCGGCCTGTTCTCTCACCTACTGACCACAGCTCTGAGTCTCTGAGGGACCTGAAACTTCTCCTCTGTTCTCTGGCCTTCAACACAGCTGATCTGGAACTGATCCAGAATGACTTTCCAGAGCCTTCAAAATAGGTGTTTCTAATAAAGTGGCCAGCTAGAAGAAGTACAAGGTGGGTGTTTCTAATAAAGTGGCCAGTGAGTGGAGGCACAAGGTAAGTGTTTCTAATAAAGTGGCCAGTTAGTGGAAGTACAAGGTGTTTCTAATAAAGTGGCCAGTTAGTGGAAGTACAAGGTGGGTGTTTCTAATAAAGTGGCCAGTTAGTGGAAGTACAAGGTGGGTGTTTCTAATAAAGTGGCCAGTTAGTGGAAGCACAAGGTAGCTGTTTCTAATAAAGTGGCCAGTTAGTGGAGGCAGAAGGTAGGTGTTTCTAATAAAGTGGCCAGTTAGTGGCAGTACAAGGTAGCTGTTTCTAATAAAGTGTCCAGAGAGTGGAAGCACAAGGTAGGTAAAGTAATCCTTTCCTCACTTGTCTGATAGTGGTCATCATGGACTGTAGGGTCATCTATACGACAGCCTTTCAGTGTAAATGACTTTATGGGAAGACTGTGAAATGTCTTTAACAGATTAATAGATTATTTATTGTTTGAATAATAAATCATTTGATTGGATGTAGCAACACCTCTGTGGTGGCTCCTTTCTTTGGCTCTAATTATTATATCCCAAATAAAACTATCAAAATGCTCCCAACTGATCCTAAAATAATGATTTCTGTGCAAGTGTTCTACCAATTAGTGAGTCCTGCCCTCTAGTGGTGTTGGTGAGTAACTGCATCTATGAACAATGAATACTGCCTGGAAAAACACTGATAATATTGGCTGAAAAAACAGACCCAGACACACAGCTGAAAAACAAGAAATAAAAAACTATAATTTATTTTTGTAGCATTCCATCGTTTTCATTATGTAAAGGTGGCAGTGAATAAAGGTTCTCCAGAAATTCAAAATCAAGAAACTAAAAATCTGAGTTCAAGTAACGACCAAGAAAAACGGAACGGAAGGACACTACCACCCTACACAGCACACCGGGCTAAAACCTACCGACAGAAGAGTTCACGCGTTTGGTCGAAGCCCTACAGACAGTGTTTGAAGCAGACGTGAGGATGTGAGGATGAAGAGGATGAAGAGGATGAAGAGGATGAAGAGGAAACGTAACCTGGCCGTCGAGAGCGTAACAGAGAATTTCATCTAAAACACAAACAATGAAAACTGCAGGACGACAGTCAGAGAACAAACTGAAACACAGCGAGTGATCGAGGGGCTCCGGCCCGAAAAGAAGAATAAAAACAGCTCAATTAATTAATCCATTAATGCCCAACAGATAAACGGGAGTGGTGAGTGGAGAGGGGTGAATCCTGCCCTCTGGTGGCAGCACTGAGTTACTACAGCTACTCAAATACACTGGAAAGAAGAATCTGCATGTCTGATGAGGAAAAACACATCAGAACCTGTTCTGATTGGTCTAAAGTGATGGAACTTTCTACACTTATACTTTGGGTGAACATCTAACAGGATCCAGAGCTGGTCTGATAAACATCATTTTCATACTTTTATTTATGATTAAGTGATTAAAAACTCACTTTTTAGCCACATAAATTTAAAGATTTTGCCAGATTTGTGCTCAGAGCTCAGAGAACATTCAGACATTCAACCTTTCCAGGACATTTATAGGGGAATTCCACTGATTTTCCAAAATTCCCCCATAATTTCAGTGTGTGAGCTGTAAGCAGAGTGATTCAGAGTGGTTTGGTGTGAAATGGTTCAGATGTCTTTACAGTGGTGGTGATGGGAACCAGAGGTCGCCATGACTACAACACAGATATAGACATTTTATTTACTATCCAGAACCACCAGTGAACCTACACGAGTCTTCTGAGTTTATATGGAATGTTGATGATGGAAAATAGTGGAAAATCTGAAATAATATGTTCATGAATGGAGTTTAAGTCTGAAATCTTCTCAAAACATCAGGTTTAATCATATAATTATGCAGAAATTCTGGAAATTTTGGTGGAATTCCCCTTCAACTGTTGTGGACATTAATGGGTTAATCAGGAAAAATAAAAGCAGACAGAAGCCGCTCTCTCATCAACTGATCCTCACTGTATTTCTTCAAAAAATAAAAAACACCATCGTAGAAACATTCGCCACAAAACAAAACTCTCCTACGTTCAGGTGTGATGACCGGCCCGGCAGTGAGGATGACCACACAGACACTCACAGCAGGGACATGAGGGACATTAGCTTATAATCTGAAGAGGTATAACGCTGATGATGGACATCTAATAACTATAACACTAGAAAACGTGTTATACGTTGAATAATCAGCAGGATTTAAAGGCTGCTTCCATTTAAACCCCTTACATTCCGCTTTATTACAAAGTTTAACCCCCGAAAATACAACAGTTTGTGTTTTAATGGAAATGATCTGAATAAAACTGGCTGCGGTTAAACTGAGTGAACCATCACTGTAAGAGAAAAAGGCCCAGAAACCCTCAGAGAGCTGCTCAGTTTAACAGAACTGGCCTTACAGGAATAAGTGCTCCATTTTCATCACGGTACGTCTGAATAATTCACCACCAGCCGCAGAGTTAAACCAGTTTAAAACCAGTTTAAACCAGTCAGCGACTCGCTTTCAGCATCCGACCACAAATAATCATCCAACAGACGTCAGGAGCCAGACCCAGTCCCAGACCCGGATTAGACCTAAACCCAGACTAAAACCAATCTCCAACTGTAACCCCCCACCGACGCTGACGTTTAATCTAGAACCTGGGCTTAATCCACGTCCAGGAAACACAAACGCACTCGTTCACCAACAGAACCTTCGGAGTGAGCCCCACCTGCGGCGCTGACCTTCCCAAAGCTTGGTCACAATCATTGAAACACCAGGACAGACACTGAAAATAGGGAACAAAATAAAGAAATAAAAACAAAGGGCAGTAAATCTCAACCAAAACCTGCTGACGAAGGATTTCATCACAATTCTGGGCTTTTTTGAACCACTTAAATATCAGATCACCAGGAAAAATCCACTGAAACAGAAACAGAGTTAGATTCCGATAACGTCACCCACAGACTCGGCAGCAAATTAGCTAGAACCTGGAGAACCAAACGTTCGGAATAAGAGCGAACACAGAGGGTTTGGCAAACAATACCAATTAAAGCGACAGTTCAGCCAAAAATCAAAGCATCTCGGCTAACTGCCCACACGCCTTCTGACCAGCGATGGACCAAAAATGAACAGTTACTGAGTAAAAGTTTTCCTGGTAAAACATTACTTGAGTAAAAGTATCAAAAAGTATTCGAGTATTTGAGAATGAACTCGAGCAGCTAAAGTACACTCTTAGTAAAAAAGGTTCTATATAGTACCAAAAAAACAGGTTCTTTGGCTTGTAACGATGGAGGATCCCTTTTGCTGCTATAACCTTTTCAAAAATCTAGAACCATCTACAGCACATTCTCCATCAATCTGAAGAACGCTTACACGCCACAAAGAACCCTTCAGTCATGCAAAGGATTCCTTGAGTGTTCATGGTTCTATATAGAACCACTTTCTTTACTACAGAACCATCTTTTTTAAGAGTGTACTTATTGTACTGAGTTATTGTAGATACCGTTCCATGAACAACTGTATTTGAGAATGTACTCGAGTAGCAAAAGTAAAAGTACACTCTTAGCAAAAAAACGGGTTCTTTGGCTTGTAACAACAGAGGAACCCTTTTGGTGCTATAACCTTTTCAAAAAGGTTCTATCTAGAACCATCTACAGCACATTGTCCATCAATCTGAAGAACACTGACATCACAAAGAACCATTTAGTCATGCAAAGGATTCCTTGAGTGTTCATGGTTCTATATAGAACCACTTTCTTTACTAAAGAACCATCTGTAAGAGTGTATTTATTGTAGTTATTGTAGATATCATTCGATAAACAACTAACAGAACCTTCTTAGAACTTGAATCTCAAAATAACACCTAAAATAACTCAAAAGTACTTTTACTTAAATTTACTTGAGTAATATTTTACAGAAAGCATTTCTACACTCTTACAAAAAGATGGTTCTTTAAGGGTTCTTTAGTAAAGAAAATGGTTCTACATACAAGCATGAACACTCAAAGAATCCTTTGCATGATTAAAGGGTTCTTCAGATTGATGGAGAATGTGCTGTAGATGGAAAAGGGTTCCACTATCGTTACAAGCCAAAGAACCCTTTTTTGGAGTTACATAGAACCCTTTTTGCTAGGAGTGTACTTTCACTTTTGATACTTGTACATTCTCAAGCGAATAGCTTGTCAATCATGTTTTTGCATGATTAAAGGGTTCTCTGCATGGTGAAAGGGTTCTACGGATTGATGGAGAATGGGCTGAACCTTTTTAAAAATGGTTCCAAATAGCAGCAAAACGGTTCCACTATTGTTACAAGCCAAAGAACCCTTTTTTGCTAAGAGTGTATTTTACTTTTGATACTCATACATTCTCAAGCCAATACTTTTTTTGCACGGTTAAAGGGTTCTCTGCTTGGTGAAAGGGTTCTCTGGATTGATAGAGAAATGTGCTGAACCTTTTTGAAAAGGGTTCCCCAAGCCAAAGAACCCTGTTTTGGTACTATATAGAACCAGTTCACTAAGAGTGTACAGAGGTTTGTACACCCCTGGCCAGAAAACACATAAGCAGTTGGTGACGATGCTAATTGTTGGGGTCAATGCCTTCACTCCTCGTTAGCTTTAGCATTAGCCTCGTAGCTCCAGTGCTAGAACTGAAGCGGCGCCAGTCACGGTCTTGGCTGATCGATCCGAGGTGAGGCTGATCGATCAGATTTCTGGCTGAAGAACCGCTTTGAGCTGACGGGCAGGACCGTAGCTGTCCATCTTCACTCCCCCTGTAGGACAGACATCATATCACAGCCGCTAACAGTCAAAGCGCATCTCCAGCGGGTCTTCGAAACTGGGCTCCTTCTCCGGGCTGGCGCTGAGGTAGGAGGCCATCTGGGGTCTGGCCGAAAGGCTGAGGACCCCTGGGTTACTCCCAGCGCTCATGACCGAGATGCTGGTGAGGTTGATGCCCAGGGTGAGGCGGGTCTGCTCCAGGGCTTTCTCGGGCACGGCGAAGGCCTCCAGCTTCTTCTCTCCGTTGGCCATGTAGGAGTTCTGGCAGCCCCTGCAGATGCAGTCCAGGCAGGCTTTGCGGTTCGAATAGCACGGGCAGCGCTGCCCCCTGCAGGTAAGGACACTTGGGTTCTGCGTGGCTCTTCCACACTTGCAGCCTTTCTTCTCCGGGGGCTTTTTATACACCACTTTGGCGGGGTTCCCTGGTAGCGCCCCATCAGACACCTTGGGCTTGGGTTTGGGCTTAGGGGGCGCTGATTTTAGTCTTAGTGGGAACCTTTTTGGCTCCGAGGCTTTCAGCGTTCTTCTGAATGTTCTTTGTGGAGTCCATCAGCATCCTGCTGACCTTCAGCACCGCCCCGTTTTGGACTCCAGCTGGCCGATTCTGAGCTTTGGGCTCGGACGCTGCCTGCGGAGGCACCGTGGCGGCTACGGAAGGCTTCTGGATGAAGCAGGCGATGGGCACAGGCTGGAGCATCTCGCTGTCGCTCTCGGAGCGCGAACGTTTCCGGCTCAGGTGGACCTTCCTGTGGGCCGCTGCCTGGCAGGTGATGCCCGTCTGAGGCTGCTGAGGGTGGGCAGGTGGTAGAGCACCACTTGGGGTGGACTGGAGGGCTTGAAGGACCTCAGCAGAGTTTTTGCTTCTGCTGTCGCTTAGTGGAACCTCTGGCTTGGCCTGCTTGGTGGAACATTCAGACTCAAGGCTGTTGAGAACCTCCTCTACACTGAGGAGAACCGGACTGGTGCAGCCATCGTGGAGGACGTTGCCGTTTGAGATGTTTATAGTAACAGTATCAGTGCTGAACTGCTGCACAGCAAGATGATCCACACCAGAAGACGTGACCAGCCTGGATGGTTCTAGCTCAGTTTTGATGTCTTTAGACAACGGCAGACTTTCAACCTTCTGGCCATCAAACCCAGCATTAGAGTCAGTCTTATTCACAGAAATCTGGCACGGAGAACTCGCCTCCGTTTTAAAACTCATAGAGCTTTCCTTAGTCTCCTGAGGAACCTCTAGGATCTTCTCTTCCACCTGCTCCTGCTTCACCTCCAGCACCTCCTCCAGCATCTTTATGACCTCGGCATAGCCTCCAACCCGCGAGGCGCCCTGCTCCGCCCCCGTGATCACCCACACGTACTCGCACAGGCTCCTGTAGCAGTCCACCAGAACCTGCAGCTGCTTGTTCTCCTCAAACTGCTGAGCGTTCCTGCAGCAGCCGCAGGGCGGCTTCATCCTCAGCGTCCCGCCTTCGCAGCCTCTGCAGAAGAAGTGCTGGCAGGTCGAGGCGCTCGGGGCCACCGGGTCCCGCAGCAGATTACCTAGAAAAGAGGAACAGGACAGGAAATTACTCATCATTTTACAGTCGTATGTAAAAGTTTAGTCTGTTTCCATGTTGTTGTTGATTTTCTGAGTGTAAATAAGTGGAACGCGCTGAAATACGGCATGTTCTGCAATTCTTAGCGCACAAGTTATTGTTAATTATCGAGATAAACAACTACTGTGCCCTATTCGGTTTCGCGCTCTTTCACTCCTCCCAAAAAGTCCCAACTCATCTCATTTATTTGTGCCTAATTTATTATTATTTATTATTTTTACATACGTTTATCAGTTTTCAGTAGGTTGCGGACGTGAACTACAACATAGTTGATCTTATTTATTTTTATCATATTTATTTTTATTTATTATTTTTATATTACTTACTAATATATATATATAATTTATGTTTTTTTTTACTAAATATATTTTTGTGCTTTATTTAGATTTTATTAATTTCACAACACATTTACATTTGATTGGGGTGCACAAACTTGTGCACTGTACTGAATCGTCCATTTGATATTTCTGATAAACTAGCATTATATCGATTATTAGTAATAAGTAGAGCTGCACGTCATAACAAAATCTCAAATTTCACCATAATTCAATTGTTATTTTTATAATTCAATTTTTTTGCTAAACTATATATTTAAAACTATTTTTTTTTTTACATTTCATATATCACATGACCTTAATGGCCAATATGGGTGCACACTTTATTGAACATTATTATAAATTATATATATTTACATTAATACACTACATATATAGTATATTTATCTATAATGCACCAGAATGTTAATAATCCTTCTTATTTGCATTCTACGTTATCTCCTGTATTGTGTTATATTACAAAATATATAATAAACAGTAATAATAATCATTATAATTCACTATTGTGTTATATATGATTGCTGGTGTATCACCATAATGGTCACTGTTGACCATTTTAACTGTGATTTAATAGTGAAATAATCTAACGTCACAGAAGAAGGAAGATTATTCGTAACTTTAATAGAAAGTTCATGGAAAAAGATTTAATTCATTTTGGTTCATTATCATGAAACTAGTAAACAATGTTCATTTAAAAACATAGAAACACTAAAGCTCAGCTCGCTGGGTCACTCGGTCATTTTAAACTTTAACTCTCTGACCACCTCCACTGGGCCTCACACTGTTTTACCTGATTTTTGACCATTATATCTTATTTTCATTATTTTATTATTTATTTGTTAGATTATTTATTATTATTCATATATTGTTTACTTTTTGATCTTATTCTCCTCTTATTTTATTTTGATCTGATTTTATTAACCTTTACATTTTAGCTATGTTTTAATTATTGTTTTATATTTTTTATGTATTTTTATTATTAAATGTTTTGCTTTTTTATACTTACCTGATTTGAGTCTTTTTTTATTTATTGAATTTACTTTTATTATTTGATATGTTCTTACACATTATCAATCCCTTGCTCTGTATCAACTCGGCAACACTGTAAATGAGGGTCACCCTCAATGTTCTCCGAGATTAAATAAAGGTTGATTGACTGATTGATTGATTGATAAATTTACATATACAACATGCTTTTATATTAATAACTGATATCATTGCAACTGAATTAAGTAAATAATTAATCTTTACTTTGTTTACATCCATAAATACTGCATAGTGCACTGCTACCTGTTTGTGCCCATGCATACACAACTATTATCATATGTGATTGTTTACAGTGTTTAGTCACTCGGTTCACTCGCTGGACGTGACATGCACCACTGCACTGTCACCTGCATGATGTTTATGCGATTTTACCTACTTACTCTCGTAATGCGGATTATATATTATCATATATCTCTACTTCTTATTCTGTTTATGCCTCTGTATAACAGCGTATGACAAAACTTTTACTCTTCACTGAACTCTGTGCTGCTGTAATAGAGAACTTTCCCTCTGGGGTTAATAAAGTGATCTGTCTGTCTGTCTGTCTGTCTGTCTGTCTTTCAGCCCTGAGTCAGTGTTATTATTGTTAAATATTTGGACACCTGTGGAGTGTTTTGCACTAAACAGAGGGACGTACCGCAGGCCAGGCAGGACAGCGCGTCCCTGAAGAAGGACAGCAGGTTGTAGAGCTCTGTGAAGCTCTCAGGTTGTTGAGGGTCACACCTGAGCGCCGCGCGACAGGCGGACAGGTAGAGCGAGGTGGCGCTGGAGGGGTTCATCTCCGTTTGAAGGGGGCAGACTCCGTGTTAGGGGTAAAGATGGACAGATACAGAGTTCCACAGATACAGAAGATAATAGTTATGATAATAACAACAACAATAAAGCTCAGCCTGGTTGGAGCCACAGACGACTGGAGACTGCAGAGCTGAAAAGCAGAGACATCTCACTCTAGAACGGATTTACTCCCACAAACTAAACCGCCTCCTCATGCATTCTGGATCTAACATGAAACGTAAAGGGGGAAAAAAAAAGAAAATTACATTTTCCAAACAGATTTGGGTGGATTAATCCTTCCTGCTGTCTGCTCTCTGCATGCATCTGGGGTTAAAATACATCTCTGTGATGTTAAACGCAGAGTTTTTAGTCACAAATGAACATTTTACACGCAGACACAGCTTCAGCAAATTAAAGCTGAAGCACTGGGAGTTGATAATATAACAGGAGCTGCACTGTCAGCTCAGCGCGGACCGCCTGGGGTTCAGAGTCAAATCTGCAGTTTTAAAATCTGAAAACTGTAAACGAGCCTGATCGATCTGATCGGATTATGAAGCTCAGGTCATCTAACGCACAGCACGCAGTCACAGAGCCTCTCCTGAGCGACCCTCTCCTCATAAACGGGCCGTATATCCCGCTTTAGTCCGTGTTTATCCGAGCGACCCTCTCCTCATAAACGGGCCGTATATCCCGCTTTAGTGTCCGTGTTTATCCGATCGACCCTCTCCTCATAAACGGGCCGTATATCCCGCTTTAGTGTCCGTGTTTACAGCCGGTCCGTGTTTATCCGAGCTGCTGTACGGAGGGCGGGAAAGGCTCCGTTAGCTCCGTTAGCTCGGTTAGCTTCGTTAGCTCCGCGCTGCCGCTGCTACTCTCCGTGTTTCTGACTCCGCGCTTCGCTCCTTTCCTCCCCAGTTTTCTTCCCGAAGTCCTGTTTTGTCGGTAAATGTGAGTTCTGACTGTTTAAATCCGAGTCTTTGTCTTCTTTTCCTTCCGCTTTAGCGCGTTAGCCGTTAGCAGCTCCGTAGCATCGGGCTGAGTGGAGGAGAAGAAGAGCTGCTCAGCGCTCCGGGCTCGGCCGCCCCCTGCAGGCGGAAACAACACACTGCAAAAGTAGCGCAAATCCTACGGAGCCCTGATTTACGGAGCCCCGCTGGTGACATCCTGTATAAATAAAAATAATGCGTGGCCACAACTTATTAACGCGTGGGAACGAGATCCTAATGCGTGGGCACGACTTAGTAAGGCGTGGGAATGAGATGATTAAGTCGTGGCCATGACTTAGTAAGGCGTGGGAACGAGATGACGGCTTACTAAGTCGTGGCCACGCATTAGGATCTCATTCGCACGCTTTACTAAGTCATGGCCACGCATTATTTTTATTTACGCAGGATGTCACCAGCAGTTCATGCGAGCTGGTGTGCGCTGAACAGAATCCCCGCATTTTTGTAAACATGAAAGATCCAAAGCGCTATGATTGCGACACCGATCACAATAGTGAACATAATTGTGTCAAACTAAAAGTCCTCACTTAACCTTTTTGACTCCTTGAGACCACCGGTGGTTCCAAAACGCACTTCATTATATTCTTCATAACTTCCATATTTCATAAGCTACATTCTAAAGGTGGGAGTCGTATGAGAGCTGTAACTGTCTTCTTTCCAGTCAAATAGATGAGTGATGTAATTTTAAATCCTTATAATAAAAGAAGCTGAACTCACAATTTCTTTTTCTAGTGAAAGTCGACCCATTTTTCCACAAATCTGGGCTATAAACTATAAACAGATGGCGTCTCTTCAGTGATCTGCTCTGTAAACATTATTTTTATAAAATAATATAAAGAGCATCTAAGATTTTTGGCTTTCAGCAGTAAATTGTAAGCATATAGTAATATGTGTGATCATAAAACACATGTTCTGTTAATTTGAGGGAGCTTTTACAAAAAATGAATAATATAAAAAATTTACATTTATTTCATGCAGATACTGAATAATTTGCCTTACGATTCGGTCGTGTAAAATCCAGATGGACAAACCAAAATATACCCTGGAGAATAAGAGGTTAAAAATAAATGATTTGCAAACTCGATCTCATATTTATGACCTTCTATCTCAGTGTTTCTCACCCCTGGTCCTGGAGGCCCACTGTCCTGCACATTTCAGTGATTTTCCTGCTTTAACACACCCTTTTAAACCAATAACAGGCTGTTGATGAGCTGATTGGTTGGATCAGGTGTGTTGGGAGCAGAGAAAATGCTAAAAAGTGCGGGGCAGTGGGCCTCCAGGACCAGGGGTGAGAAACACTGTTCTATCTCATAATAATTACTTACTATCTCATAATAATCAGAACTCATAAATATGAGAAGGTAAGTCATAATTATGAGATACTAAGTCATAATTATGGAAAACATATTTTTCCATAGGGCAGCGCTCATATAATTCACAGAATATTTAAGATAACAGGTCCATTTCAATCTGTGAACTAAATGAGCTCTTGTACGTCTGTGCTGTGATGTTTTTATTTTTTCTTTATAACAGCTGTAAAATTCAATTCAGTTGAAAAGAATTTAAATGAAATCTTATAGTGGTTAATAGTCCGTACAGCATAGTGGATGCCATTTATCTCATTTGTTTAGGTTTTAGGTTTTGGCCATGGTCAGTGTCATAAATACTTTAATCCTTTTGCAAAAGAATGTTCATTTTGAGGGCCAAGAAAGTGCTACATGTTAATTGTGAGAAAGGACTTTTATGTTGACAGCATGACTGAATTATTTATTTATTTATATATTTATTTATGTAATTTTAGAATCAGAATCAGAATCGAGCTTTATTGGCCAGGTTTGCTTACACATACAAGGAATTTGGTTTTGGTTACAGGAGCTCACAGTGCAGAGTATCAGACATTTACATGTAGTGAATAAAATAAAATAAATATAAAATAAAATACAATAAGATAAAATACATACATACATACATACATAAATAAATGATAAAATAAAAACATGCATTCTTACCATCACTCACTTATACACACACATATAGTCATTTATTTGATGTAATTATTCATAGCAGCCGCGACACCCATTACTACTACGCTAAATGAGTAAATTAACAGCTGCCATATAATCTAAAATGACACAAAGTGAAACACAATGAAATGATAAACAAACAAACAAATAAATGAATAAATAAAATCATCAATAACTAGACTTTTATTTTGACAGCGTTCCTGACATTCAGCTTCTTCAGGCGTTAAATGACCTCTCCGCTCCGCTCGCCTCCGATAGGCTCTCTCGGTCACACCGCCCCTCTACGGACGGATGGTGATTGGCTGTTGCCGCGCCGTGCTGGGCCGTGATTGGTGGAGAGAGCGGCGTGTGATCCCGCTGATCCTCCGCGTCCTCCTGCTCGCTGTGTGCGGTAATGGCGCTGTGTGTGCGGGCGCTGCTCGGCTCTGCCGCGGCTCGGAGCCTCGCCTCTCTCCGCGGCCGGACCCTCACTGTCCCCGTGCTGCGCTGCGCCTCCGGCGGGGCGAGCTCCGTCCAGCAGCGGGTGGACCTGAAGCGGAGACAGGCTCTGCAGGGAGGAGGGGAGAAGAGGACGGAGGCTCAGCATGCTCGGGTAAAGTTTACTCCAACTCTCCGGTCCACCTTAAATGGGGCACCAGGTACATTAGAGCGCTTCAGGCGTTATAATGACTACGGCACCATTTAAGGTGGACCGGAGAATTCCAATTTTAGGGAAAGCAAAATTGAGAAATAAAGAAAAGGACGGAGAAGAATGTTTCATTTGTGTTATTAGTAAGTAGGTAATTTTATTTTTATTTATAATTTGACGTTTAAAACAGCAGCAGTTGACCAAAGTGCTGGAATATATAGAAGTAAATAATAGTAAATAGTATAAACCAAGTAATATTAACAACTAAAGGCATTTCTAATATTGAGTAATAAGCTGTACTACTAGTACAGCTGCATTGCCTGACAGTCTATTGTGCTTTGGGAATATTGCACACATCATCATTCCAGCAAAGCCTATTAAACTCAGTTTATTACTGCATTGTGTGTAATCTTATACTTGCATTTATAGCAGGCATGAAAATAAAAGCACTGATCTGAAAGAGCAGCTTAAAGGATAAATCCACTGATTTTTCAAAATTTTCTGCATAACTCAGTGTGTGTGGTGTAATCAGAGTGGTTTGGTGTGAAATGGTTCAGATGTCTTTACAGTGGTGGTGATAGGAACCAGGGGTCGCCATGACTACAACACAAATATAGACATTTTATTTACTATCCAGAACCTCCAGTGAACCTACACGAGTCTTCTGAGTTTATATGGAATGTTGATGATGGAAAATAGTGGAAAATCTGAAATAATACGTTTTCTTTGGGGACTATTTTGCCTCACAGCGCCCTGCATGTATCCCTCCACCATGAATGGAGTTTAAGTTCTCTAAACTATCATAAAACAGTGTCTCAGTCATCAGGCAGTGAATTCATAACCATTTACTGTAGGAACTTTCTGTGAGGGAGCTTTTAGAGGTGGACGTCTGGTTCCTATCACCACCACTGTGAACAGTTCTGACTCGGTAAGTTTATCTAGAACAGAGCGTTTCACACCAAACCACTCTGAATGACTCTGTTTACATTATAACCATTTAATTATTTAGAATTTTTTGAAAAAGTGGTAGGGTTCCCCTTCAAACAGGCCCAGCCTTGACCTCTGATCTCTCCAGTGTCTTTAATGCTGTGTCCCTCTTTAGGGTAAACTGACCGCACGGGAGAGAGTGGCCCTGCTGCTGGACCCGGACTCCTTCACCGAGCTGGACATGTTTGTGGAACACCGCTGTTCGGATTTCGGGATGGAGGCGGATCATAACAAGGTGAGACTGAGACGTTAATGAGTTAACAAGCCTTTGATACGGCAGCTGCTGTGGGTCAGAGGTCACTGAGACCCTCTCTATGTGTGTGCAGTACCCCGGGGACAGTGTGGTGACGGGTCACGGCAGGATTAACGGCCGGCTGGTCTACGTTTTCAGTCAGGTGAGTTCACTGGAGAAGCTGCATCAACAGCGGCTACATCCAGCCTTTAATGTCCAGACGTCCTGCTGTCGTAGGAGATTTCCAGATTTACCATCAGAGATCATTAAAGTATGTTTATCTGTCATCCTTTCAAAACGAGTATGAATAAATGAATAAACAGGTAATTACAAAGAAACTAAGATTTAAAGAAATGTCAGAAAATAGAAATTAAACATGATTAATAGATGGAAATTAAAAATAAATAGTAAGAGAGATGCAGAACAGCTAACAGTGGTTTAAACACAAATTGCTTTAAAGCTGTGGAACATCTGAAATGAATTTATATTAAATCTTATATTTATCAATTAATAGTTTATTTTTGTTAAGTAAAAACTCTGAAATGTTGAATAAATCATCTGAAATACTGATTTTATAATATTTAAATCTCATTTATTATTGTGTCAGATACATTCTGGATATGTGGAGTGATTCAGGCTTTTGAGCTGTGGTGTGTTTGTTTTCAGGACTTCACCGTGTTTGGAGGGAGTTTATCTGGCGCCCACGCTCAGAAGATCTGTAAGGTGAGGGCAGTTCAGTTATTAACCTGATTACCGTCCATATCTGAAATATTAAAGAGCCCAAATCCTACTGTAAACTGCTGTGGGTGAAATGGGCGGGGCTAAACTGCTGTGGGCTGAATGGGCAGGGCTAAGATGCAGTAGGCTGAATGGGCGGGGCTAAACTGCTGTAGGCTGAATGGGCGTGGTTAAACTGCAGTAAGCTGAATGGGCGGGGCTAAACTGCTGTAGGCTGAATGGGCGTGGTTAAACTGCTGTAGGTTGAATGGGCGGGGCTAAACTGGGTGTAGAAAATGGGCCCTTTAGATCACTGCTGGTTATGCGTTGCTGTGAGCTCAGTGCTGTAGGTCATATGGAGGCCCAGGTGTTCTGAGTCTGTCAGGCGTCTGTGCTGACTCTGTGTTTGGTGTGTAGATAATGGATCAGGCCATGACGGTCGGAGCTCCTGTAATCGGCCTGAACGACTCCGGCGGTGCACGGATACAGGAGGGGGTGGAGTCTCTGGCGGGATACGCTGATATTTTCCTGGTGAGCTAAGTTACCTCAGTGCTCCACAACACTGTAGTCTAAACCAGTTCGGCCCAAAGTGCAGCCCGTGCGCCAAAGCGGCCACATGAGGACATTTAATTTGGTGACCCACGTTACTGTCCACTACTCTGAATGCTAATCTTAATAATCAGACTGTGTCAGTAACTTCAGTGTGTTTACACTTAATAATCCAATAACTGCAGAAAATCAGATTGTGTCAGTAACTGGTTCAGCGTGTTTTTTTGCTCTTGGTTAATCAGATAAAGGGAAACTCCAGGTCTACATGAATCAGGCAGTAATCGGATTTCTGCTTTACAACCAGCCAATAAACTCTCAGAATAAGATGAGACGTAAACGTAATCAGCGTAAAACACTGAGTCACTTCAGTGATAATATGATCACAGATCATCCAGAAGATGAAGAATATTTAATCCTCATTTTGTCGAGCGTGTAGTCGGTTTGTGATCAGACTGTGCTGAGGTGTGTGTGTGGTGTCTGGGTTCTCCTCAGAGGAACGTGCTGGCGTCAGGTGTGGTTCCTCAGATCTCTATGATCATGGGTCCGTGTGCTGGAGGAGCCGTTTATTCACCTGCACTCACCGACTTCACCTTCATGGTCAAGGTGAGTTTAGACTGAAAGCTGAAAAGGGTGAGAGGGGTGGTGGGTGAGGAGCTGATCACTCTTGAGGAAGATTGATTTGTTTGGTTGATTGATTGATTGATTGATTGATTGATTTTGCCTGTGTGTTGTCAGGACACCTCGTACCTGTTCATCACGGGGCCTGATGTGGTCAAATCTGTTACTAACGAGGACGTGACTCAGGAGGAACTGGGAGGAGCAAAGACCCACACCTCAGTGTCTGGCAAGTGGCTTTTAAAGCGATAGTTCAGTGATCTCTCTCTCTCTCTCGCTCTCTCTCTGTCTCTCTCTCTTTCTTTCTTTCTTTCTTTCATTCTTTCTTTCTCTCTCTGTCTCTTTCTTTTTCTTTCTTTCTCTCTCTCTCTGTCTCTCCCTCTGTCTTTCTCTCTTTCTCTCTCTCTCTCCATCACGTCCCTCTCTCCCTCTCTCCGTCTCTCTCTCTCTCTCTCTCTCTCTCTCTCCGTCTCTCCCTCTCTGTCTGTCTTTTTCTCTTTCTCTCTCTCTCCATCACGCCCCTCTCTCCCTCTCTCCCTCTCTGTCTGTCTTTCTCTTTCTCTCTCTCTCCATCTCTTCCTCTCTCTGTCTTTCTCTCTGTCTTTCTCTCTCTCTCTTTCGCTCTCTCTCTCTCTTTCTTTCTTTCTGTCTCTCATTCTCTCTGTCTTTCTCTCTTTCTCTCTCTCTCTTTCGCTCTCTCTCTCTCTTTCTTTCTTTCTGTCTCTCATTCTCTCTGTCTTTCTCTCTTTCTCTTTCTCTCTCTTTCTTTCTTTCTTTCTGTCTCTCATTCTCTCTCTCTCTCTCTCTCTCTCTTCTCTCTCTCTCTCTCTTTCTGTCTCTCATCTCTCTCTCTCTCTCTCTCTCTCTCTCTCTCTCTCTCTCTCATTCTCTCTCTCTCTCTCTCTCTCTCTCTCTCTCTCTCTCTCTCTCTCTCTCTCTCTCTCTCTCTCAGGTGTGGCTCACAAGGCGTTTGAGAATGACGTCGATGCTCTGCTGAGTCTCAGAGAGTTCTTCAACTTCCTCCCTCTGAGTAATAAAGATCCAGCTCCTGTTACTGAGAGCCACGACCCCAGGTACACTTACACTGCGCCGCTTATGTGGCCCTAGATCGGAAACGTATCCGATCTGTATCGGCCTTAATAAGTGTGCTCAGATCAGAATTCGTGTTGTTCTGTTTTTCTCCACTGTGCCGTGACTCAGCAGCAGCGCTTAAGGCCAGTAAGCTGTGGAAAACCGTCCAGCCCTCTTTCACCTTCACTCTAATGATCAGACTCTGATCAGAGGGGATGATCTTTGTGATGAAGCCTCACTCTGCTGTTTGTTTGCTGTTCATGATGCATGTTTCATTCACGTGCATTCAAGTTATTGATTAGGATGTGAGTATGCAGGTCATTTGAGGACACAGGGTCACATTAGGGACAGATTCTGGTCACTTATGTACACGATTGTAAACCATAATGTTATGGAGATCAGATCTGAGATAAAAAGTCAGATTTGAGCAATGAGGCTTGTGATGTGAACGTAGCTTTAGTGTGGATTTATACTTTATTAAAGGTGTTTTTTTGGTCTGGACCAAAGCAGAAAATCATACATGGTTGCACTTTAGTTTCGTTGGTTCAGCGTTCACACTGACATGTTTAACGTAGAAGCAGAAGATGTAAACAGAAGTCGTGTGAGTTAAGAGCTCGTTTACTCCTCACGTTCACATGTTTGGTGTCCAGATCTGTTTGGCCGGATTCCATTTAGAGTTTTCACTAAAATGTGTCTCCGGTGTCCATCAGGGCACGTCAGCACAAACACAGGTTCAGTTTACTTTTGTTTACTCTTCTCCGTTACTGTGGAGCAGATAAGCTCAGTCTGGACACTTTCATCATCCTGCTGGGCAGGGAGGCCGCTGGTTTGGGGACTTCAACCTCACATATCCTCCATCTTTCATTCCGTTTTTTATTCTCACACCTGCTGGTCAGCGCTCAGCATTTCTGCTCATGTAATTGCACACAGATAAAAGCACAGACCATGTACACTGGTGGTAAGTGTGGTCAGATCCTTATCTGACCCTCTGAGTGTGGTTTGAGTGATCGATCATAATCGCCGTTCATCCTGGAGGTGTTTTACACCTGGCTGTTCATGCCATCACGTGAAATCCGAATGTGATCCGATCACCAAAACGCATGTTAATGCAGAGTGTAAACAGGTCCATATAACGGTCGGCTGGCTAAAGGCACAGAGACTTTTATTTTAGAAACTAAGACAAATATTACAGACAGCTGAGAGAAACAATGATGACTAGGATTGGGGATTCAGGGTTTTAGAGCAGTTAACCAAACCGAGCGTCTGATTGTCAGTCCGGTCTGAGGATTTGACGATGACGCCTTACCCTGCATTCACACCGGCAGCGACGCGATGCGACAAAGCGGCCGGAGGTCATTCATTTTCAGTGAGAGTCGGCAATTTCCAGAGACTGGAGGCAACGCGAACTGGGCGGAGTCGACAATGCGACAAAGTTGAGCGGAGTTTTTTTTAAATTTTTTTAAATTTTTTTATTTTTACCCGATTTTCCCCCCGATTTAGTCGGCTCCAATTCCACCCGCTAGTTAGGACTCCCCCAATCACACGATGCTATCAACGCTAGGAGGGCGAGGCTAACACAGGCTTCCTCCGAGACCTGTGAAGCGCCACCGCTTCTTTTCGAACTGCCGCTCACGCAACGTCACTGGACAGCCGAACGCGCTCGGAGGAAAGCGCCAACCGCCAGATCTGTTACGTCAGCTAACAGACGCCTGCGCTGACTAGCATCGCGTTGGGTGATGGGGGGAGAGGGAGGGGCCATCCTACCCACCCAGAGAGAGCGAGGCCAGCTGTGCTCTCTTGGACTCCCGGCTACGGACGGCTGTAGCATCACCAGGGATCGAACTCGCGATCTCCTGATGAGGGACAACGCTTAGACGGTTGCGCCACTCGGGAGCCTAAGTTGAGCGGAGTTTAACGTTATGCAAATCAGGAAGCGACGTGGCGATTACCAATAGGAATTAAGCATTGAGCAAAAATGTTTGCCAATCCGATTGAATACAATCCGATTACAGATTCAGACCGAGGTGTTTATATGCACTCTATTCAACAATTTGATGGAAAGTCTTCATTTACATGCTCACTACAAGTAATCCGATGCAAAATGACGCGCATGCGTGCAGTAGCGTTTAGAGTAAACGTTACCATGACAATGAACATCACGTGAGGTCCAGTCCGCGTGAGATGAGTTTCCAGTTGGCGCACTCGTGTTTTAATTACTTTAAAATGATGTCAGACTCAGGAAAACGTCCTTCACATGTCCTTATTAAAGAAGGACGAGAGGAAGGCGTCGTGTTCTGAGACACATAAGCTGGACGTCCGTCCCACCGCCGTCTTTTAAAGATCAGAGCATAAACTTCGTCTCCTCTGCAGACCAGTTTCTGCTCCGCCATGTTGAACGGTATAAACTCTCACTATGACGCGACGAACATGATCAGAACGCACTCAAACTTTCCGATAGGGAATGTAATCAGATACAGGCGTTTACACGGATATTATTCTTCTATTTAACGGATTATTTACAGGATTACCCACCTCGATCAGTCGGATAGAGACTGTATTCAGAATGGCCTCAATCAGACTAGACTATTCCGACTGAGGTGTTTACATGGACGTGTTCTATTCCGATTGAGCTATTAGTCGGATTATTAACAGATTATCAGGCTGCATGTAAATGTGGCTAGTCTGGACTAAATGTGGTCAGTAGATGAAGCTGCAGGTCAGTCAGAGAAGAAAGGCTCTTAAACTTTAGCGAACTTTGTTACCGCAGTGCAGCATTGCACTGTAATCTTACAGCACTGCCACCATCAGGTGAGAGGAAGAACTGCAGCGTACTGGCTGGCAAGTCACACTCTAAAACAGAATCGACAGGCTGATCTGTTCAGGGGCCGCGTTTGGCCCTGGGGGACCGGGCTTTGGACACCCCTGCTGTAAGTGGACGGTTCATCACTGATTAATGTTCATTCCTCTGGTTAATGCGTTAATGTTTGCTCTTCTTTTCTCCCGTTAGTGACCGTCTTGTTCCTGGGCTGGACACTCTGGTGCCCTTCGAGAGCACGAAGGCGTACGACATGCTGGACATCATCCATGGTGTAAGAGTGACTTTTATTCACAGTTAAACTCATTTATTTAAAGTGATATTTTAGATAAACGTTTACAGTGTTGTTTCTTATCATTGCTCGTCTCTGTCCCTCAGATAGTGGACGAGAGGGATTTTTTTGAGATCATGCCAAACTACGCCAAGAACATCGTGGTGGGGTTTGCGAGGATGAACGGCCGCACAGTGGGAATCGTGGGAAATCAGCCAAAAGTAGCTTCAGGTAAGTGTTACTGCAGGGTTCACAGTGGAGCCGATACTACACTCACTTTCACTACACAGTTTTTAATTTGAACTGTTGCATCGGTGTTTGTTCGTTTGTTTGTTTGTATTTATATCATTTCCTATATTTCAGTCGTTGTGGGTTCAGTTTCTACTCACAGTCTACAGAAAGTAGCAGCTGATAAAAGGCAGAAAATTTCAAAAACATGATGGCAAAACACTAGAGGGCGCCAGAGAGAAGAGTGCACAATGAATGGAGAGTGAATGGAGCTAAAAGTGTGTCTATCTGTATAAAAGTTATTAAACATTTTACTAATCACAGTTCTGCACACAAGCTCCATAGGAACCCATTCATTTTAGACTCTTTAGCGCCCTCTAGTGTCTGACAAGTCCTGAAGACATTACTGAACGGCATTTCTACTCATTACAGTTCATCTGGGTTTCCATACATTCGCCTCAGAGAGGATACGATCGTTGACCATCATGATGTGTGTTTATTTGATTTTCTTTGTTTTATTGTGTTTTTATTTTATTTTATTTAATTGTTTTTTTTTTGACATGACTGTTTAGTGTTTCACTGTTTTATTTACTTACATAAATTTCCTTTTGGAATAAATAAAATTTATCTTACCTTGGAGTTGATTTTCATTTATTAGAAGTCTTATATAAAAACTGCTGTTCTTCTCCTTCTGCTTATTATTATTGCTGCTATTATTATTTTTCATTGTAATTTATTTGTTAAAATGGTTTATATATGTACATATGTTGTTATTATACATATGTACATTTATTTATTTCTCTCTTTTGTCATTGGAACACAGGTTGTTTAGACATTAACTCCTCAGTGAAAGGAGCTCGGTTTGTTCGCTTCTGTGACGCCTTTAACATCCCCATCATCACATTTGTGGACGTTCCTGGTTTTCTGCCAGGTAATAAATAAACTGAGTGAAATTGATTCTCAGCTTTAAGTCTGTGTTTCTCTTCACTGTCTGTAACGTCTGTGAATCTGTTAATCGTGTACAGGTACGGCTCAGGAGTACGGCGGCATCATCAGACACGGAGCCAAACTGCTGTACGCCTTCGCCGAGGCAACCGTGCCCAAAATCACCATCATCACCAGGAAGGTACAGCTGTGACGGGCTGTTATATCAGACCAGGGTGATAATATAATAATAATGATCAAAAACAACCTTCACACCAAACAGCTGCTACTTTAGTACACTAGGTGGCGCTCTGTTCCTTTACTACATCTCAGAACCAATGAGGTGGCGATTAGGACCAGTGACAGTCAGGGGGAGGTCTCAGAACTAACAACGGGGCAATTAGGACCAATCACAGTCAGTATTAGTGACAGCTATCAGAGTTCAGGAATCTAAGGCTCAGTCCCATTCCTTATTTCTACCCCTTGTTTTTGAGTGTTGCCCCTTGGAGCTGAGTTACAGGGTAGTGGTTGAGATCTTCCTCTGAAATGGGACCCTCAAATAAAAAGAGCATCACTTCATTAACAGCTACCAGCGCTGCTCTGTAGGCGACCCTGCCAGTCTGCAGTGACAGCAGAGGAGGGTAAAGTTCAGCTCCTCACTGCTGGGCTTTAGTTACATTTAGGGCATCATATGATCTTCAAAGAGGGGGGCAATTATTTATTATCACCCACCCCTAATTCTTCAGTGATATGAAGCTGAAGTCAGATATTCACCAGATTCTTGTTCCAATTTTTCCTGTTCCACCTTAAATGGAGCAGCAGTTACATTCTGGCGCTTCAGGCGTCAGAACTGCTGGACTATTTAAGGTGGAACGGGAAAGTTAGCTACCGAGACTACTAACTATTAAGAGACTACTAAACTACTAACTATTTTTATGCTTGTTATGAAGAAAACGACAGAAATACATTGAAATGACATCAAACTAAGATAAAACAGTGATTATTGTAATTTTTTAACAGGGAAAATTCTCACATTTGTGGGTTTCTTTGGTCTCTTGTCCTCCATCTTGCCTCTTTTACTCATATCACTGTCTCTGAATAACCTCCGTTTGGAGGGTCATGTAGCCCCAACACTTCACCCTGAACTGGGACTGGGCCTGAATACTATTGAACACTATTTTAACAGCAGACATTGTATGTGATAACGGTATGTGTGCCTGCAGGCGTATGGAGGAGCGTATGACGTGATGAGCTCCAAACATCTGAGGGGAGATGTGAACTACGCCTGGCCCACAGCGGAGGTGGCAGTGATGGGAGCGAAGGTAAAACTGATAAAGGCTCAGAGACGAACACCAGCATCCGCAGCTTAAAGCGATAGTTCAGTGAAAAGTCATAGATCATCACACACTCACCTCAAAGACGTAAGTGAAGGCGGCTTTTTGTTTGCCAGCATCTTATCTGAATTATTCATTCCACCTTAAATGGTGCCGCAGTTACATTCTGTTGCGTTACTCACTGGAATGTAACTGCTGCACCATTTAAGGTGGACTGGAAAATTCAGAAAAGACGCCACTCTCAGCCTTGTATCTCCACTGTTGATGGAAGCACCAAGACGTTTCACTGCGTTTCTGTATGTTACTCAGTGTTTGTAACAGCTGCGCTAGTTAAGGCGGAACTGGCGAATAGGAAGCCAGTTTTAGTTGTTAGATAATCTCTAACGGACTTGTTTATGTGCTCTCTGACGCTCTGTCCTCCAGGGCGCGGTGCAGATCATCTTCCGGGGGAAGGAGAACCAGGCGGAGGCGGAAGCAGAGTACGTGGAGAAGTTCGCCAACCCGTTCCCTGCTGCTGTCAGAGGTACTGCACAGTCCGGCTGTCCGTCACTGTCTGTGTTTCATGCAAAGATTTTCTCCAGTCTGATTGAAAACATTCTGATCACAGATTAAGACTGAGGTGTTTATTCTCACTGTACTCAACAATCTGATGGAAAATCTCCGTTTACATGCTCACTACAAGTAATCAGATCCAAAATGACACGGATACGTGGAGAACGCTTAGTGTACATGTTACCATGACAACCAGCATCACGTGAGACGAGCAGCAGTGACCAGTGCTTGTGTTTTTAACTGCTTTAAAATGATGTCAGACTCAGGAAAACGTCCTTCACATGTCCTTATTAAAGGAGGCCGAGAGGAAGACGTCGTGTTCTGAGACACACAAGCTGGACGTCCGTCCCACCGCCGTCTTTTAAAGATCAGAGCATAAACTTCGTCTCCTCTGCAGACCAGTTTCTGCTCCGCCATGTTGAACGGTATAAACTCTCACTATGACGCGACGAACATGATCAGAACGGACTTAAACTTTCCGATAGGGAATGTAATCAGATACAGGCGTTTACACGGATATTATTCTTCTATTTAACGGATTATTTACAGGATTACCCACCTCGATCAGTCGGATAGAGACTGTATTCCAAATGGCCTCAATCAGACTAGACTATTCCGATTGAGCTATTAGTCAGATTATTAACGGATTATTAGGCTGCATGTAAACATGGCTACTGTCTTCTCAGACACTTCAGGAGGTGTATGTAGTGCTGAATGAGGGACACTGAACTGTACTGTACTGTTACTGAGGCTGAGAAACAACATACAGGCTTTTAGAACCAAAAATGACCTCCCAGATCAGCTGCAGGTGAGGCTCTGGTTCAGAAACTGAAACTAAGGCTGGACATTTAGATTTAGGCTGCATCCTTACCTTTAAGACCCAGTGCAGTATTACACACGGCTGAAGTTGGCTTAATACTGGTCGGCTTCTTGAAAACACGAGTTTCAGCCGCAGTTTTGCTATTGATCAGTTTCATCTTTGGCGAACGCTTGATTTGCAATTAACTAACCAAAATTATTATCAATATCATCTATAATATCAATAATAAGAATAAATATAGAAAGTAACAATGATGATATAGTGTTTGCGAGTGCAGCTCCAGTACAAAAATGCTTATTTTACATGCGCATCACTATAAACAAATGCTGCAACTGTTCCATGTTCCATTTAAAGACATTACACTCTGCTTTTGTTTTGTATTTCTGACTCCGCCCACAAAATAAACAACACAAAACACAGCTAGTATCATACACTGCAATAATACAGTGTTTAAATATTTTATTGTAGGAAAATAATCACATCTCATCATTCTACCTTTAAAATCACTGACATTTAGTTTATTTCACATTTTATGCTTTCCAGTGGTCGTAATTTTAACACTATAAAGTTTGGTCAGTAGGGGGAGCAGTGCAGTCACCGCTCCACCTCAAGCTCCGCCTATGAGCACAGCTCATATACAGTAAGCTGCTGTTTTATTGGAAATATCTGTGTGAATAGGGCGTGCTTCATGTAAATGATATGTAAATGAGGTGCTCATAGGCTCGCGCTTGATTTCACGCACTGAAGCTGATTCGGCGCTCAAAGCTCTGCTTGTTTCAGAGCAGCTTGTACATCATTAATTACGCAGCTTGTACATCATTAAGGGCGGCAAATCTGTGCTCTTTCACGCAGCTCTGATGAATGAGGGCCAGTGCAGCTGCTGCCCCATTTAAGGTGGAACGGAAAATTTGAATAATTTTTCATTTCTTTCTCATATTGCACTTTTCTCTCACTGTTAAATCTCTTTGCACTGCGAGTTTTACGGCGTCCCTGTGCGTGTTCAGAGTGCACTACGGCAGCATTAACGTCTGTATGTTTTTGTATATTCCAGGATTTGTTGATGACATCATCCAGCCGTCCACCACCCGCATGAGAATCTGCAGAGACCTGGAAGTTCTGACCAGCAAAAAACAGAAGAACCCCTGGAAGAAACACGCAAACATTCCTCTGTAAACTCCTCCTCACATGTGATTCTGTTGAGTTCTGTGACTGTTCAGATAAATCAAGTGAACGTTCCCCTGTGCCTTACACCCGGAGAGACCCCCGGGTTCCCCTGCATTAATGTACAGAGACAATAAACACTCCCAAACACCAGATCTGGCATTTATTTATTTATTAATTACTGTTTCCATAAGTTAAAAAAGTAAACGAAAAGGGAAGATCAGCTCTAATTTTACAAAAGAAAACTTAAAATATTTCAAAATGTACAATTTACAGTTTACTAACCAAACAGAGTTCAGAGGATAGAAAAGTGCTTTGTTTAATAATAATCATTAAAATTCTGATACGACGTGCTGCTGACAGTAAATCACTTGGGTGTGTGTATATTTTATATATATACACCGATCAGGCATAACATTCTGACCACCTCCTTGTTTCTACACTCATTGTCCATTTTATCAGCTCCACTTACTATATAGGTGCACTTTGTAGTTCTACAGTTACAGACTGTAGTCCATCTGTTTCTCTGATACTTTGTTAGCCCCCTTTTACCCTGTTCTTCAGTGGTCAGGACCCCCATGGACCCTCACAGAGCAGGTACTATTTGGGTGGTGGGATCATTCTCAGCACTGCAGTAACACTGACGTGGTGGTGGTGTGTTAGTGTGTGTTGTGCTGGTCTGAGTGGATCAGACACAGCAGTGCTGCTGGAGTTTTTATACACTGTGTCCACTCACTGTCCACTCTATTAGACACTCCTATCTTGTCAGTCCACCTTGTAGATGTAAAGTCAGAGACGATAGCTCATCTGCTGCTGCACAGTTTGTGTCGGTCATCTTCTAGTCCTTCATCAGTGGTCACAGGACGCTGCCCACAGGACGCTGTTGGCTGGATATTTTTGGTTGGTGGACTATTCTCAGTCCAGCAGTGACACTGAGGTGTTTAAAAACTCCAGCAGCACTGCTGTTTCTGATCCACTCAGACCAGCACAACACACACTAACACACCACCACCACGTCAGTGTTACTGCAGTGCTGAGAATGACCCACCACCCAAATAGTACCTGCTCTGTGGGGGTCCATGCTTGTCTTATGTATACACGTACATAACACAAGAATGAGGCTTCGCTAGAAAATAATCAACCTTTCGTCTGTTGTTTTTTATTCCAAACAGCACTAAAATCCTCCGTTTAGCAAAAGAAATGTACACTGAGACACAGATCTGTACATGTTTTGTTTAAAAAAATGGTACTAAATCTACTCAACATTAAAACGCTTATTTACACCACATGTAATATTTATATGTTGTCAAACAGAAATCCAGCTTTATCTGAACATTTATACAAAAACAATTAAAGCTTTCCACTCGGACTCCTCCTCCTCCACTCAGCCTGATCGATTAAACCCGAACTCAGGCCTGTCCGACAGGAAGAGCGGGTAAGGACAGCTCTGTTCTGGGGGTTAAAGGGGAATTCCACTAGTTTTTTCAAAATTATCTGCATAATTAAGTGGTTAAGATGTAAACAGAGTGCTTCAGAGTGGTTTGGTGTGAAACGCTCTGTTCTAGAGAAACTTACCGAGTCAGAACTGTTCACAGTGGTGGTGATAGGAACCAGACGTCCACCTCTAAAAGCTCCCTCACAGAAAGTTCCTACAGTAAATGGTTATGAATTCACTGCCTGATGACTGAGACACTGTTTTATGATAGTTTAGAGAACTTAAACTCCATTCATGGTGGAGGGATACATGCAGGGCGCTGTGAGGCAAAATAGTCCCCAAAGAAAACTTATTATTTCAGATTTTCCACTATTTTCCATCATCAACATTCCATATAAACTCAGAAGACTCGTGTAGGTTCACTGGTGGTTTTGGATAGTAAATAAAATGGCTACTCATTTGAATTTTGAAACAGTGGTGGACTTCCCCTTTAAGGTATCTAGCTTCAGTGAGAAAGTCTGTTTGAGAGCAGAATGACGCTGTTTAAAACAAAACCTATGGGATGAAAATACTGTGAGATGCCTCTGATTTCACTCAGTTATCACTGTAATCTTTACCTGTAATTGGGCTAAAAGGGCAACTCCATCAGTTTTGCCAAAATTCCTCCATAATTAAGTGTTTGAGATGTAAATTTACAAGAGTGGTTTGGTGTGAAATGATTGTAGAGACTCTACAGATTTGTTTACAGTGGTGGTGATAGGAACCCTATTGTTTTATATGGAATGTTGATGATGGAAAATAGTGGAAAATCTGAAATAATAAGTTTTCTTTGGGGACTATTTTGCCTCACAGCGCCCTGCATGTATCCCTCCACCATGAATGGAGTTTAAGTTCTCTAAACTATCATAAAACAGTGTCTCAGTCATCAGGCAGTGAATTCATAACCATTTACTGTAGGAACTTTCTGTGAGGGAGCTTTTAGAGGTGGACGTCTGGTTCCTATCACCACCACTGTGAACAGTTCTGACTCTGAATGACTTAACCGTTTAATTATGCAGTGAATTTCGAGGTATTGATGGAGGTCCCTTTCACAGATTTGATCAGAGAATTACTCAGAGTTCCCCAAAGCATCACAGGAGGTCATCATCATCATCATCAGGGTTAGGAGTGAGGGTCAGTCTAAAGGCCTAATTTGGCTTCTTTAAAAGTCTGCATTTCATCATCTGGCCACACGGTGGCGCTGGGTGGTGCTGAGCTTAAATCCCGCTGAGAGAAACTTTCTCCCTCTTTTTGATTTTAGATTTAATATCAATATCAATCAGATATGTATATTTGTGAAGAGCGTTGAGGTGAATGTAATGAACGAAAAGCTCCATATAAATATTTTTATCATTACTAATCTTAATTATTATTCTCACTGTGTGAACAGTTGAAATTTAACATCATGACTGATTTTCCTGTTTACAGCTTTTAGTAAACGCTCTGATAGCAGATCTGACTTACACACGGATTCTTTAGCACCGTTAAATGAAAGTAATGATGCTGGTCAGGATTGTTGACGTCACAACAACACTATCATCAAAATGTCTGTGGTCCAGTGCTCACTGGACCTTTAACTCACTGCGTTAACCCTCTGTTATATCTTGCAGGTCAAACTGACCCGTTTAAAGTTTAAAAATCAAGGAAAAATATTGTTAATAATTTCTGGAGTGTGAAATCTGCTGGACTTACGGCTCAATTAGTGTGATTCGATTTTAAAGGGTCAGTTCGACCCGGAACAGAAATGTCAAAAATATTGAAAATGTCTAAATAATAATTTGTTGAATGTCTAATTTTTGCCAGTGCACAAATAAACAGTTTGAAAATTTTTTTTTAATTTAATGTTGATTAAATTGATATGAATTGAGCTAAAGATGATGTTTATGAAGAAAAATCTATTGTTAAACTACTTTTGGAAGGTTAAATGTGGATCGGTTCAGTCTGATACTTGATTATTGAGGTTTCTCACACTTGGACATAACAGGAGGGTTAAACTCAGCGTCCAGAACAGCAGGAGAAGCTGGACGCTCCTGTGAGGAAGAGCTCTGACTCAGTGAAGCTCCTCTGTGGACGCTGGAGATCACGGTGTCCTTTAATCGCCTCAGAACATCGGCATCGAAAAACCCTGAAGGACAACAAAGTAGAAACAGTTAAAAGTCCTCCTCTGTTCTTCCATTAGAGCTGAAACAGTGAACACTTTTAATGATGTATCGTTACAAAAACAAAACAAAAACACAAACAACAATATATTTAAATATGTTTGTTTATTTAGGCTTAGTGGGCGGGGCTAAACTGCTGTAGGCTGAGTGGGCGGGGCTGAACTGCTGTTTATCTCACCGGTTCATCCTCCATCATGGCAGCCGAGTCGAAGAAATCCGGCCTCAGTTCTGCTCTCTCTCTCCGGTTACGGGACGGAGGCTGCAGAGGAGCAGATTCATCACTTTATTAAAGTCACAGTTCGGCAGAAAATCGGATCTACATCACTTTCCCTTTAACCCAAAGGCAGTTTTTAGAACCAAACGATCATTTTAAGGAATATTCTTGTTTATTCTCAGTCTAATCTGATGGACCTGTAGTACAGTGTACAGTCAACTACCTTAGACAACAATTTTAACACCTTTCCCTAAATTTATAAATGAAGAGTAAACCTACCGACTGAACTCACTTAGAACAGAAGACAACAGGCAGCTCATACACTTTATATTACACTGGCTTCTGTTAAGCATTTTATATTTATTTTGTAAATGGCTTCTATGATACACTTTATATTATATAAAGCTTCTTTTGGCATCTATAGAAAGTTTTACATTGTATGTTTTATACTGGCGTCTGTAATTTTATAATTACAGTAATTTTATTTAACATTTTATATCATTTAAGGCTTCTATTGGCTTTTATTATAAGCTGTGTATCATTTAGGCTTCTATAGTAAACTTTATATTGTATTATATTGTATATTGGCTTCTATTAGGATTAGAGACACTTAGAGTCCAGTGGTCGGTGCTTTAGCCGTATAAGTCTATACGTGTATGTAAGTGTATACAGGCATATACACAGTATATAAACAAATAGTATATAATAATATTATAAGATGTTACATATATATCATTAAGTCTGTGGTAACTATATTCTACAGATGCAGCAGGTAAAAAGTAGGATGTAAATGCTGGAGTTTTCCTTTAATCAATCATAAATCATAATCACTACATACATAAATACCTAAAAAGGTACCCACCTTTTTGGTCTGGCCAAAAAAATACACTATACACACACACACACACACACACATACATACATACATACATACATACATATATATATATATATATATATATATTATATATATATAAAAACCATTTTAGATGCTTAAATAAACCTGTTTTTATAGGTTAACAATGGCGTATTATTCTGGAATATCCCTTCACTTTTTATTATGAACAATTTAACAACTACAGTAATTTTTTTGTATCTAAAGTATTAGAAAACAAAGCTGAACAACACAGGGCTAATTCAGTCTTGCTTTCACCTGGTAAAATGGTGCTCAGTGTTGTTTCATACAGGTTTCTACGCGACTGAATTTCTTATTCAGCAGCCTTTTTTAATTTTCTGTTCCACCTTAAACAGAGCAGCAGTTACATTCTTGTTCCTGCACAAGTTCCTGAATGTGACGGCTGCAGTCTTTAAGCTGGACCGGAACATTTTAAACAAGAACCCAGTTTCAGCTTCGCCGAATTCCTCAAGTCATTTGTCTCATGCGAGCGTACTGTACAACACGGAAACCCACAGCTGGACTGACCAGATCAATGACCATAGTGTCCTCAAATTCCTCGTTCATGTCCTCCAGCTGACCTCGAGATGACATCATTACATCCTCAAAAATGGGTTCGGCATCGTCCTCCATCAGCCCTCGACTGGACAGACAGGACAAAACTACCTTCAGTCACACCGGAAATATCCTGCATTCCTCTGTTTCAGTGGGGACTATACAGCCAAAAGTATGTGGACACCTGACCATCACACCTATATGAGCTTGATGGATGTCCCATTCCAAAACTATGGGCATTAATATGGAGTTGCCCCCCTTTTTGGCTACAACAGCTTCCACTCTTCTTAGAAGCTTCTACAAGATGTTGGAGTGTCTGTGGGAATTTGAGTCCATTCAGTCAAAAGAGCCTCTGTGAGGTCAGACACTGATGTTGGACGAGAGGGTCTGGCTCACAATCTCTGTTCTAGTTCATCCCAGAGGTGTTCAGTGGGGTTGAGGTCAGGGCTCTGTGAGGGCCACTGGAGTTCCTCCACACCAAACTGGTCACTCCATGTCTTTATGGAGCTGCTTTGTGCACAGGGGCTCAGTCATGCTGGAACAGGAAAGGCTCTTCCCCAAACTGCTGACACAAAGCTGGAAGCAGATAACTGTGTAAAATGTCGTTGTGCTGCAGCACCAACATCACCCTTCACTGGAACTGAGGAGCCCAAACCCTGAAAAACAGCCCAGCCCATCATCCCTCCTCCACCAAACTTTACTGTCAGCACTGTGCATTCCGGTAGGTAACGTTCTCCTGGCATCCACCAAACCCAGATTCATCATCAGACTGACAGATAGTGAAGATTCATCACTCCAGAGAACACGGTTCCACTGATCCAGTGTCCAGTGGCGGCGCTTTACACCACTCCAGCCGACACTTGGCATTGCCCATAGTGATCTTAGGCTTGTGTGCAGCTGCTCAGCCATGAAAACCCATTTCACGAAGGTCCCAACACACAGTTCTTCTGCTGATGTTGCTTCCAGAGACAGTTTGGAACTCAGTAGTGAGGGATACAATAGAGGATGGGCCATTTTCACAAACTACATGAGTTTAACGTCACTGAGCTCTTCAGTACGACCCTCTACTGCCAGTGTGTGTCTATGGAGACTGCACTGCTATGTGCTTGATTTTATATACCTGTTAGCAATGGGTGTGGCTGAAACACCTGAGCTCTATAATTAGGAGGCGTGTCCACATACTTTTGGTCATATAGTGTATATCTCACATTATCCCAAATTCTATTAAAATAATAGCTTCATCCAAAATGCTAATAAAACTGATTAAAGCCTGATGTTTGTGGTGCTTACACAGTCTGCCGGACCCCCCCACTCCGAGCCTTCATATAGCTCACTGCAGTTCTCTCCTTCCTGTTCACATCCTCTGGCTTCTGCTGCCACAACATCTCCGCACTGACAGAGAGAGGAGACAAAGTTTTTAATCAGGTAAATATTCACTAATAATCCCCTTAGTCGTCTCCTCATGCTGAGCCACAACCTAAGCCTTAGCTTAAAGGGGAATTACACCAAAATCTCTACATAATTAAGTGGTTAAGATGTAAACAGAGCGGTTCAGAGTGGTTCAGAGTGGTTTGGTGTGAAACGCTCTGTTCTAGATAAACTTACCGAGTCAGAACTGTTCACAGTGGTGGTGATAGGAACCAGACGTCCACCTCTAAAAGCTCCCTCACAGAAAGTTACTACATGAAATGGTTATGAATTCACTGCCTGATGACTGAGACACTGTTTTATGATCGTTTAGAGAACTTAAACTCCATTCATGGTGGAGGGATACATGCAGGGCGCTGTGGGCAAAATAGTCCCCAAAGAAAACTTATTATTTCAGATTTTCCACTATTTTCCATCATCAACATTCCATATAAACTCAGAAGACTCGTGTAGGTTCACTGGTGGTTCTGGATAGTAAATAAAATGTCTATATTTGTGTTGTAGTCATGGCGACCCCTGGTTCCTATCACCACCACTGTAAAGACATCTGAACCATTTCACACCAAACCACTCTGAATCTCTCTGTTTACATCTCACACACTGAGTTATGGGGGAATTTTGGAAAAGTAGTGAAATTCCCCTTTAACCCTGGCCATAACACTACTGGACGTGGTACAGACCCATTAGGACTGTATGTGGGCGGCTTCTGATGAGCTCTCAGTATGACCGAACACTGAATATGTTCTTAAGGCATCCAATAAGCAGCCTGTGTGTTTCAGTGAGTGGAGTATCACAGTAATTACTGACCGCTGCAGGACGCTCATGCTGGTTCTCTTACTTGTGGCCGTAGTCGGGCTCTGGGTCGGGTTCAGCCTGCTGCTCGGGGGCGGGGTCAGGACTGTGTCTTTGGGCGTGGTCAGGGGCGTGTGAGGGGTTTTCCTCCAGCTCTGTGGACGTTAGCTGGGCAGTGGGTGGGGGATCAGCCTTCATCGCCCACTGACCCTCCGCACTCTCCTCTACACAACACAACGCAAAACACAACAGATTCAGAAATATTATTCATACATCGGCAACTTTAACCCTTCAGACCTACGTTCAGACACTGTGTTTGTGTTTACACTTTCATTTTGTTTCGTTTCATTTTTGACAATCATAACGTGTTATAGATCAGATTCAGCACAACCTCAGCTAACAAGATCCATTATTCAATAAATATTTCTACACACTATGTTTGTAAATTAGTAGCACAAAAATTTGCTGAATTTATTTGCAGTTTTACTGAAAAACATTTAAACCTTGATATCAAAAGAAAACAATAACACAAAAACTGCCCAAAACCCTTTGATCTAAAATAAAAGCTATTTGAAGAGTTTACTTCTTTCTGTTTTCAGGTTCTGCCCTTTTTTCTGGACAGTGTCCCTCTGTGTTTTTATGGAACTCTGCTTATATATGAAATATATGAAAGTCTCTTGGCAGTTTCAGTTACAGAAGAGCAAGTCTGCAAACTCCACACACAGGACAGGGTCTGCATCCTGACGCCACAGTCAGTCATTCATTTCAGTTTCTTTTTTATTTTTACTTTGTTCATTTAATCCACCTGGACTAATCTGGACCCTTTCCAACATCCACCTGGACTAATCTGGACCCTTTCTAAAATCCACCTGGACTAATCTGGACCCTCTCCATATCATGGAAAACAGTTTTCTGGGCTTTGTCTGGAATGCTGAGACAGACTCGGGCAGAAAGATTAATTTTTTAATATAAAAATCACATTTAAAAAGAGTCAAATAGTCAAAACAGACGAGTTGCATTTTTAATTCTCAGCTACTTTATTACCAAAGTGTTTAAATGGGGAAATTTAATCTAATAACACAGTTTATGAACTGCATTAAATAAGTTAGATAATCAAAAGCAGCCAAACAGCCATGTGCTGTGACATCACAACCATGACTGACAGGCAGTCTGGTGCACTACATCCAGAGTTCCAGCCTCAAGCTAGAAAAGTGGATTATGAGGATTATCAGGCCTGGACTTCAACTTAATCGTTAATTATATATTTTCCCCAAATCGTTCAGGCGAGACAGACAGACAGACAGACAGACAGACTCTGTCTATCTTCCTCACCCTCAGTGCGTTTCCTGTGGGCGGCTCGGCTCTTCCTGCTGCGGACGGATCCGGTCCTGCTGCTGCCACCGCTGGTGATGGAGCCATGGTCATCATCTCCACCGGTCAGCAGCGAGTTTCTGTAGGAAATGAGGGGCAACCACACGTCCTCCCGCCGCTCACACATCTGCTCCGTCAGGAACTTCTCCAGGTACGAGTGGCTGAGGGACAGACGGACAGACGGACAGGGTCAGAATCACAGCAGGGAGGACCCGTCTGGTCTTGATTACCTTTACTGTCCTTACAGGCAGATACACAATGCACTGAAACAGTGTACATTACAGAATAAACTTACAGCAGAAACAACAAATCCAAACAAACCGATAATGGAGCACCGCAAACGTAGTCGATCATCCGAGACTTGGTTCTGACAAGCTGTTAACTATAAACACTAAAGTACATTAGCACAGCTAAACACAGCAGCAGTTTAAAACGAGTCCATGTTTATAGAAAACAGTGTCATACAGTGTCAGAAAGCACAATCAAGATTACTGAAAAGGGATTTCCACCAGTTATTCTAATTATCAGCATAATTACATGATTAAGATGTAATCAGAGAGGTTCAGAGTGGTCCGGTGTGAAACGCTCTGTTCTAGATAAACTTACAGAGTCAGAACTGTTCACAGTGGTGGTGATAGGAACCAGACGTCCACCTCTAAAAGCTCCCTCACAGAAAGTTACTACAGTAAATGGTTATGAATTCACTGCCTGATGACTGAGACACTGTTTTATGATAGTTTAGAGAACTTAAACTCCATTCATGGTGGAGGGATACATGCAGGGCGCTGTGAGGCAAAATAGTCCCCAAAGAAAACTTATTATTTCAGATTTTCCACTATTTTCCATCATCAACATTCCATATAAACTCAGAAGACTCGTGTAGGTTCTCTGGTGGTTCTGGATAGTAAATAAAATGTCTATATCTGTGTTGTAGTCATGGCGACCCCTGGTTCCTATCACCACCACTGTAAAGACATCTGAACCATTTCACACCAAACCACTCTGAGTCACTCTGTTTACATCTCACACACTGAATTATGGGGGAATTTTTGAAAAATTAACAACTCAACATGGTTTGACTGTTAGCATTAGCAATTAGCAGAGGCTGTGAGCCAAACCTCAACAGAGTTGTGAGAGAGAGAGAGAGAGAGAGAGAGAGAGAGAGAGTTGTGAGAGAGAGAGAGAGAGAGACGCTAACAAACATACACTGTTTTCTTGTCTTGGCGCAGCAGTTTGGAGGAGAATTCACACAGGACCTCCAAAAAGGCCAGGTTCGGAGGGGGCCAGTCGGGCCCTTTCGGGTTCGGAAGCTTGAATGCGAACTCAATCCCATCCCTGAGCACAGAAACACAAAGAGGTGCTGTTACAGCTGAGAGTCAAACAGCATAACAGCACAGCTGGAATTCACACACTGCAGCAGTGATTTCTTAAAGCAGGACATTCAAGATCCCTATTAACCGGTCACTGCGCTCCCTGCTGAGAACAATCATAGAACCCATTAAAAGGTTCTGCCGCTTCCTGATGGTCACTAATGGTATTGTGTGTTTTCCTGATGGGCTGATACCACAGTGTAAAGGACTGTAATGGTTTAACATGTGTTCTGATTTCCAGATGCATCTGATGGTTTCCTAATGGAATCTTAAGGTCTCCTGGAGAAGCTAGTGGTCTCTAATGGCAAACATTAAGCCAATTCCCATTAGAAAGCAAAACCAACAGGTTTTTAACCTAATGGTGCTAATGGTCTTTTTATAGCAGGGCTCTCACAAATGTGCCTCCTATTCTTCAACATCCACTTGCAAATTCACTCCACCTCCAGTTTCTGCGTTTAATATCATAAAATTAAGCCAAACTGTTTATTTGTTGGAAACACTAACTCTGCAGACTTAAAGCGCCATGGATTGGAAACTCATTTCCAATTGATCTCCAGATCGAGTTATTTCTGTCTTTATGACACAACAGATGTTATCTTGACAAAACTGTCCATTATATCATGGCAATGATATAAATAAATTAAGATCTAGAGAAAATAACATGCGTTTTTCCATGATAATGACATAAATATCATGAGAGCTCAAGAAAATGAAAATAACTCATTATGGAAAAACAGTGTAAAAAAAAATATTAACCATATTTATACCATATTTAGTTGGTACCAAGCTGACCATTGAAGCCCAAAGCAGCACTCTTAGAAGTTTTTGTGCAGCCAGCTCTCGTTAGCCGAGCAGCTCATAAAGCCGTTTTCCACAGAGGTAACGGTAACGGTAACGGTGTAGCTCTGCACTTCAGCTCAGAAACATTTAACAAAATCAAATAACATTGAAGAATCAAAGACAAACATTGAAGTCCTGCTTTTTCTCACCACCACCTGTAGCAGTTATTCATAGCTAAGTCAGTGGAGCTGGGCAGTGCAGTGCTTATAGCTAATGTTAGCTACCTGGCTATGAAGAACGCTAGTTAGACTAATGGGATGCTAATAGACAGAATGTGACCCAGTGGCCTCACGTCAATAAACGGACTGGGATTTGAAAGGAATTTTTAGGATTGGCCACTCGCTACAATGCTAGAACTTGTTTCTGTCCTCTAAAGCCGCTTTTCCACTGCTCAATGGTACTGACTCGACTCGAACCAGCTACTTTGTTTACCACTGCAGATATAGCACCCCCTCAATGCAGCTGGTCATCATAGCAATGCCGATGTGATGTGAAGGAGACAAATGTTGTTCAGAAGAGGCAGCGAGACAGAAAACTGCTGACTAACAGGAGAGTTTGGGTAAAACTACATCAGAGTTCAGACAACGAGACGATTCTGACTGCTCAAAAAAGGCAACACAAGAGGCTTAGTTAACCTGGTAGCTAACGTTAGCATACGTGTTTGGTGTTTTTACATCACCTTTTGGTATCGGCTCAGCTTGCTTGGAGGCGAGCCAAAGGTGGTACCAAAAATAGTACCAGGTACCAGATTTGCCTAGTGGAAAAACAAAAGGCGAGTCGAATCAAGCTGGTACTATGCAGTGGAAAAGCAGCTTAAGAAGACCTAATCTGCCTCTTGTGCTCTTCCCTGTGGAGCCTAAGTTGGATTTATGAGAAGATCTACCAAAAATGTCCCACTGCGTCCAGGCTTACTTGTGCAGAGTGGCCACAGCCTCCCTGGTTTTGATCTGGTCCAGGCCGAAGGTCAGAGCGAAGCGCCGTGCCAGCTCCTTTAACCCACTCACATGGGACGAGGTGCGGTCCAGATTTGGGCCCTGATCCTGGATCAGCTCATTAAAGAGCTGAAGCAGAGCGCAGAGAATGACTTTAATAAAGTCTTTAAAATGAGTATCAGTTTTCCTGAACTGGTCTGAGCAGCACTACCTATTTTCACATTTGAAAACATGACGGATCATAAATGAAAATCACTGTTAATCAATACTGCTCAAACTACTGAAGTGACAGTAGCTGATCAGCCAAAACATGTTAGCTACATTAGCCTCGTAGCTCCACTGATAAAACTAAAGAAACAAACTTCGGAAATCAAACATGCTTTGGCTGATCGACCATATTTGGAGTAAACAGGAAAATGATATGAATTTGTCACTGATCTCTCACTGCATTACTGATGAACAGTTAAATGCTGAAGACAGTCACCTGCTGTAGGCTCAGGATTAGCGTTTTGGCGCACAGGATCTTGTCCGTTTGTCTGGTCTTGCTTAATGTTTCCTTAATGATGTCCCCGTAGTCGTTATAGTACTGAAGAATCATTCACAACAACAAACAGTAAGTGTACAGTACAAAATAATAATAATAATAATAATCAGATTTTGGCCATTTTGGCCAGACCTTCTTTTAGAGTCTGTGTGTGATGTTAATACGTAAAGACGTACGACATGGTGTGAAAAACTTGAAGCCTCTGACTTTTAAATGATGAATTAGGGCATTAGGGGCACTGTCCTGGAGTGGTTTAAGTCATATCTGATTGGCAGAAAACAGTTTGTCACCCTCGGTGGCCATACTTCTCATACGTCTGTGGTTACTCAGGGGGTCCCTCAAGGCTCAGTCCTTGGACCTCTTTTGTTTATTGTGTACACACTTCCTCTTGGCCACATAATACGTAGCTTCAAGCTGAACGTTCACTGTTATGCAGATGACACACAGATTTACATTAGCACTCTATCTATTAAAAATCCACCCCTCACCCAGGTTGAAAACTGCATAACAGAAATGAAAACATGGATGAAGCACAACTTTCTCATGTTAAATAGTGACATAAACAGAACTTAGGATAGGATATAGGATCCAAATCAACTCTCTCTAAAACCTCTCGACATCGACAGTGTACCTCTGTCCCCTTCCCCTCTGGTACGAAATCTGGGCGTTCTCTTTGACTCAACTCTCTCAGTCAGTGCCCACATCAACTCTGTAGTTAAAACCTCTTTTTTCTCCGTAACATTGCAAAAATTCGACCGTCACTCTCTCAGTCTGCGGCAGAAACTCTTATTCATGCATTCATTTCTAGTCGCCTGGACTATTGTAACTCTCTACTTGCTGGTATTAACTCCTCCCATTTATGCAAACTCCAGATGGTACAGAACTCTGCTGCTCGCCTCCTCACCCGCACCCGTGCACATCAGCACATTACACCCATCCTGCAACATCTCCACTGGCTCCCTGTAAAATACAGCATACAATTCAAAATTGGACTCGCTGGTTTACTCACTGTCCCACCTTCCAAACTTCATGGGTACGGTGATCCTGCTTTCTCTAGGCTGGCTCTCCGACTCTGGAACTCTTCCCCTCACATATTCAACAGGCCAACTCTGTCTCCACTTTAAATCTAAACTTAAAACCTCTCTTTTCTATTGCTTAGAACTGTTCTTAATCCTGAACCAGCTCTTTGCCAAGTCCTGCTATGTTTTTGCTTGTGATGTTATGACTGTGCTTCGTTTTTATGTTTGTCTTTACTGTTCTGTATTTCGAAAACCCTGTAAGCGTCTTTGAGTTCTTGAAAAGTATAAATGTAGAAAGTGAAAAAAATTAGAAAGTGAAAAAAAAGTAAATGCAAACTTTTTTTCAAGTTTTAGACACCAAGTTTAAGTTTCAGCACTTCAGTTGCAAAATTGAAGTTTCTCTCTTAAGCGTTTAACTTAAGAATTTTTATGCGAGTGGCCACAGTTCTGCTACTCAGTTAATGATTTAATTTCTTAAAACATGCTCCTCTGCAGTTCCTGTGCAACAAACGTTTAATTATTATTTTATTTCTATTTTTGTTTTTAAAAAATATTGAATGCATGAGAAGTTTTGGGTGCAGTATTGCTTTACAACATTATACGAGATGGTCACCTTCATGTAGTGTTTGAAGATGTCTGCAGCTGCCGACATGTCCACTATGTCGTAGATGATGAGTTTGCTGAAGGCAGCCAGCAGGTTCCTCCTCTTGTGTAAGGCTTCGATCTTATTGGCTTCATCTTCCTCATCTCCATCTGCAAAAAACGCAGCATCATTTATTTGACCATGTCAGAAGGTTTGGTCATGTAGTTCACATGTTCATTGTGTAATATCCCCAGATCCAACACAGACTCAGCTTTTCTGGTCATGCTAGCTAACAAAGTTTCAATATGATGCTAATAGTGTGCAAAACTTTAATTAATTTGTAAAAAATGTTCACTAATTAAACAGGTATAAAAAACAAAACTCATTAGAAAAGATTTAAAAAAAAATCCCCTAATTTTCTTCCCAATTTAGTCAGATTGAGTTCCATCTGTTAGCTGGTATCCGACGCTACCAAGCTGGGAGGATGAATGCGAGCACAAACTTCCTCTGAAACATGTGATGCTCCACCAAATCTTCTCAAACCATCACTAATGCAATGTCACTGACGCTCAACACACTTGGAGGAGAGCACCAACTCCTAATTCAGTTAGCATTGTGCTAAGTGATGGCGGACTGGCCGGCATGGATGGCTGTGGCATCACTGAGGATCTCCTGATGATGGGATCAGCTCCCATCTTTAGCTGAGACACTGACCTACACTCTGGTTCTCTTCATCCTGCTCGATGAACACATGGTCCAGGACAAAGTTGAGCAGCTCGTTCTGCAGCACAGAGTCTGGGTTAAACACCAGCGGCTGCAGGCCCTCTCTTCCGCCCGCCATCAGCTGGTGGCTGAAGATCATCAGCAGGTCACACAGCAGCATGAAGGCCTGCAGGAGGCAGATACCCAGGTCAGAAAGGTCAGGGTTAGAGATCAGAGTGGACCAGCTGCTGGTCTGCAGCTCACCTGCTCTTTGACCGGTGTGTTGACATTGGATAAACACTGTTGACACACAGCCAAGAATGATTTGACCACTCTTCTCAGTGCAATCAGATCATCCTAAGAACAGTAAGAGACAAAGATGTGTTCAGTGGTGCCTCTATGCACAGATTTGCATCTATACACTGCTGTTCTGGAAAATTCTTTCAAACAGTGAAGACATAAGCATGTGAAAAATTTGTCAGATCAGTGGCTCCCAATTATCAATTATCAAAACCTTACATCTTTTGGTGTTTTGTCTGTTCTAGCACCTTCATCCAACTAATCAGTTCATTAATAAGCACTTCCAGAGCTGAGGTACATGTATAGGAGCTACACTAACTACAACCCTTTCTCAAAAAGTTGTGACGCTGTGCGAAATGTAAATAAAAGGGGATACAAATAGACAACATTTTAAATGTTGAAACTGAGATTTTTTTTGTTCTTTTACTTTTTTTGTTCTTTTACTTTTTAAGGAGCCATTCTGTTGTTATATGTGCACAATGTGGTTTGGCCTTTCCTGAAAAAGACGTCGTCTGGATGGGAGCATATGTTGCACCAAAACCTGGATATATTATTCAGCATTAAGGGGGTTCTCACAGATGTGCAGGGCACCCATGCCATGTGCACTAACCGCCCCCCCCATACCATCATGGATGCTGGCTTTTGAACTGTATGCTGATAACAAGCTCCTCTTTAGCCTGGAGGATGTCCATTATTTTCCACTTCACCTCAGTCCATTTTAAATGGGCTTGGGCCCAGAGAAGGCAGCGGTGTTTCTGCATCCTGTTTATATGTGGATTATTCTTTGTATGGTAGAGTTTAACTTGCAGTTGTGGATGCAGCAACAAACTGTGTTCACAGACTGTTATGGGACGGCAGGGAGGCGGACCCAAGTGCAATGATGAAGACCCGTGAGAAAGGGTGTTAAACAAATTTATTGAGGTAACGGGATGTGAATTGTCACGTTAGGGATGAAGTGACCCAGAGCCAGGCTCGAACCGATGTACTGGTCAGCAGGCTGTGGAGTTACCGCTGCACCACTGAGAAGCCCGGGTAACACTTGGTAAAACACCTCAAGGAATAGGAAACAAAAAGGCATGAAAGCAGCTCAAACAAAGGCTTAACCAGAAACGTTAACAATAAAAGATAATGAGAAAACAAAAGACACTTCCACTTTAATTATGACGGGAAGGCAGACTTTTCATTTTTAATTTTCTTTTCTTTTTGTTTAAATACCCACCTGGGCTGTGTACCATACCAGTCACCCCTTTACAAAGTTGTGACAAAGGGCTGCTGTTTGCCACAGCCTTAAGTAGAGGAGTCCACAGGTGTGTCAGGTTGGGCCTAATCAACCCGAGGGCACTTTGCCACGGTTGCCCTCTGCTGGCGGCTGGCGACACAGGCTGGACACCTTGCAGTGATTTCCACTACAGAATCGCGTCTGTTTTTAACGAAGGGCCTGAAAATCATGCCTATCCAATATAGTGATATAAATTATGGGATTCTCTGAGTCTTTTAATGATATTATGTTCTGTAGACGATTAAATCCCCACTTTCTTTGCTATTTTACGTTGTGAAACATTATCCATGAATTGTTGCACTATTTGCTCGTGCAGTCTTTCACAGAGTGGTGAACCCCTCCTCATCTTTACTTCTGAAAGACTCCGCCTCTCTGAGATGCTCTTTATACCCATTCATGTTACTGACCTGTTGCTGATTAACTTAATTAGTTGTGAAATGTTTCACCAGGAGTCTTTTGTTGCCCCTGTCCCAACTTTTTTGAAATGTGTTGCTGGCAACATATTAAAAATGGGCAAATATTTTTCAAAAAACAATAAAAGTGCTCAGTTTCAACATTTGATATGTTGTCTTTGCACCATCCCAACTTTTTTGGAAACAGGGTAGTACAGTGTACAATACATTTGTGCAGGGCAGTGGTACTCCTAAAGCAGGACTGGGAAACACTGTGCTAGATGACATATATCTTCTGGAGAACTACTGATTCATTGGCAAGTATTTATACCTTGGATGGAGAGCCTTCTGTGATCTTCACCAACTGCCACAGGATTGAATAATGTGAGCACTGCAGAGCCTGGACTGCTATCTACAGAATAAAATACAAGAGTCAGATAACAGAGGTCAGACAACACAAGGCAGTAGACAAAGGACAGACAAGTGGGGACAGACAACACAGGTCAGGCAACAAGAGGTAAACAACATAGGACAAATAACAAAGGACAGACAACAAGAAACAGATAACAAAGGACAGACAAGGTGGTTTACACAGATGACATAGTACAGACAACACAGGACAGACAAACAGTGGGGTGAGACAACTAAGGTTAGACAAGATGGGAGAGACCACAAGGGACAGACAAGACAAGTCAGACAACACAGGACAAATAGGAAGGCACAGACAACATGGCTCAGACAACCAGGATCAAACAGCAAAGAACAAACAACAACTGGGCTCAAACAACAATGAACAGGCAACATGGGACAGACAACTCGGATCAGACAACTCGGATCAGACAAAAAAGATCAGACGGAAAAGGTATGGGAAACCAGACAACATGGCAAAGACAAGATGGGTCAGACAAGAAGGAACAGAAAATAAAAGGTCAGACAACTCGAATCAGTCAACATGGGTCAGGCTACTCAAAGTCAGACAACATGGGTCAGGCAACTCATGTCAGACAAACTTAGGTCAGGCAACAAAAGATAAACAACATTGGGCAAATAACAAAGGGCAGACAACAAGAAACAGATAACAAGGGGCAGACAAGGTGGTTTAGACAAACACAGGACAGAAAAACAGTGGGGTGAGACAGCTAGGGTAAAATAACATGGGTCAGACAACTAGGGTTAGACAACATGGGAGAGACCACAAGGCGCCAAGAGGATGAGTCAAACAACACAAGTCAGACAACATATTACCTCATTAACAAGGCACAGACAACATGGCTCAGACAACAAGGGTCAGACAGCAAAGGACACACAACAACTGGGCTAAAACAACAAAGAACAGACAACTCAGATCAGACGACAAAGGTATGGGAAACTAGACAAAATGGAAAACACAACAAGAGTCAGACAAGACAGGCCAGAAAACTTGAGTCAGTCAACACAGGTCAGACAACTCATGTCAGACAACATGGGAAAGAAAGCATGGAAAATCAAACATGGTAAAGACAACATGGATCAGACAATTCAGGTCAGTCAACACGGGTCAGACTTAATGGGAAAGACAAGATGGGTCAGACAACAGGGGACAGATAACAAACGGTCAGACAACACCAGTCAGGCAACAAGGAGCAGACAAAAAAAGGTTACACAAGACGGGTCAGACAACCCAGGTCAGACAACAAAGGCCAGGCAACTCAGGTCAGACAACATTGGTCAGGTATCATAGATCAGATAATATGGGACAGAAAACGAGGGACAGACAAGACGAGTAAAAAAACTGAAGAAATAAAGAAACAAAGGGAATTCCAAGGGGACTGACAGGACAGGACAGACAACAAGGGACAGATAGCAGACAAACAACACAGGACAGGCAACATGGAACAGACAGCAAGGAACAGAGAACAAGGGTCAGACAACCAGGGTCAGACAACATGGGACAAAAGACAGAACAGAGCATATGGGACACAATCAGAAACAGGTCAGAAAACACATGACAGACAACACAGGACAGACTATACAAGAAAGATGAGGTCAGTAGGATCAGGCTGGACCCTAGTTTAGTATATGCTACAGCCCTCTATAGAAAATTTGTGCAGATCTACAATGAATTAGTGTTTTTTGATGAGGGATATGTAATCATTGCTAAAATATAACTTTATAACTTTAAATATAATCTAAATATAACTTTAAATATATTTAAACAACTAATATAGATTTGCCTGGATGTGTTTTAAACTGATAAATTAAAATCTGTCCTCTCTGTCATTAAACTGGGCACATGTCTGTTACCTGAACAAAACTGAAAGTATCATACCTGCTCTGGCATTGAGCCGTGCTCTATCCCTGCTCTCAACAAGCGATAACAGTTCCCAAACAGGTCCCACCTGGTCAGATCATGGGCACTGTCAGTGAAACAAAACAGACATCAAGTCTCGTAGATCATAGCTTTTCTGGGTAACAGTAGAAAGGCATTGAGGAGAAGCAGGGACGCACTTGTGGAAGGCAGTGAGTCTTTTGAGGGTGGACAGGACGCTGTAAATGTCATCATCATCTGCTTCATCTCCCTGTAACAGGTGGAGAGAAAGGCTTTAGTTTAGAGCAGACAGTCTAAACCCATGCAAACAAAAACAAAAAGCAATGGAAGGTACACAAATCAAAAGTCATGCCTAAATCATCACACACTTGCCTCAAATCTCGACGAGTTATTTATAAATTGGACTAATGTACGTTACGTATCTAAAACCAGTAGTAGCAGCCAATTAAAACTATTGATTTTTGTTTATTGCTTCAAAGGCAAGATTTATGGTCACATTTATGGCACAATAAAATTTTAGCCATCGACTGTGTTTACATGCAAAGATTTTTGCCAATCCGATTGAATACATTCCGATTATAGATTAAGGCTGAGGTGTTTATGCTCACTCTACTCAACAACCTGTTTCTGTTTACATCCACACCACAAGTAATCCGATCTAAAATTACCATGACAACCAGCATCACGTGAGTCCAGTCAGATTTTTCCAAATGATGTCTCAGTTTGTTTTTGTTTTCTATATTATGACTCAGGAAAACGTCCTTCACGTGTCCTTATTAAAGAAGGCCGGGAGGAAGACGTCGTGTTCTGAGACACATAAGCTGGACGTCCGTCCCACCGCCGTCTTTTAAAGATCAGAGCATGAACTTCGTCTCCTCTGCAGACCAGTTTCTGCTCCGCCATGTTGAACGGTATAAACTTTCACTATGACGCGACGAACATGATCAGAACGGACTTAAACTTTCTGATAGGGAATGTAATCAGATACAGGCGTTTACACGGATATTATTCTTCTATTTAACGGATTATTTACAGGATTACCCACCTCGATCAGTCGGATAGACATTTTATTCCAAATGGCCTCAATCAGACTGTGTATTCTTTGAGCTGTTAGTCAGATTAATAACGTATTATCATGTAAATGCAGCTATTGTGTCTCAGTAATGATCTTATTTGCTGCAGGAGCTGACTGTATGGTACCTCCTGCAGAAGCTCCTCCACTGCGTGGCTGAATCTGTCAGTCAGCTCGTCTATCAGCTGGCTCCGGGCGATGTCCACTCTGTTCATGATACTGAGCTCCTCACTGCACAGTATGCTGAAAGTTCTACTGCAGGCCTCCAGAACCTCCGGCTCCGTGTGCTTCTCCACCACCAGCCTCATCTGCTTCAGAAGAGCATCCAGGTGCTGCACACACACACACACACACACACACACACACACACAAATTATTATCTAATTGAAACAAGTGGAGAAATTGTGTGGAAAGTGCAGACTGTAAACTTCCAATCCACAACACATTCATGTTTGTAAGTAGAAGAGGAGATATGAAAAGTTCAGTCTTGTTTTTAGTCATTTTTTTGACATTGAAACAAGTCAAAAGTGCAGACATGAGCCTGTCCTGTCCATACAGAATGAAAATCAAGTGTAAATATAATCATGAAGTTAATTATGTAGTTGATTATGTGATAAATATATATATAACATATATAACAATAGTATCATATGTAACAATCATGTTTCATAAATTGAATGCACAGCCAAATGACAATAACTTATTGGACCTCAGAAAATCAGAGTTTTTGTACCTTCTCCATCCGTCCTGTACTGTAGACGTCCAAATTAAAGTACTGAGGGATCTGCAGGAGGTTGGCCACTTTCTCAGAGTCCGCCTGGTACTGCAGCAAACACAGGACTGTTAATTAAGCTCTGGAGTTATAGGATATGTATAAAAACCTAGAGCGCAAATCTGTAGAAGGCATGGCTTGAAATTTACACCAAAAAGTGTCAATCTAAAGTCTACATGATAACAGTCTGTTTAGATGGTGTATGGGAGCCTTTAGACGGCTGCAGTAGTCTTTAGACAGTGTGAGGTAGTCTTTAGATGGTGTGCGGCAGTCTTTAAAGCTGCAGTAGTCTTTCCATTTCCTTTACTGGACAAAACAGATTAAAACCTTAGACCAAAACATAAGACTCAGCTCCACACTGCCTTCTGGTGGAGGATGGAGTTCAGACAACTCACAATATTTAAATATGAGAAAGTATAACTTTAGAGAGACGATTGACAAATCAAAATATCCTAACTTACTATTTGATATTTAAACAAATTAACAAATATTCAAAAATGTGAAAATTCTGACTTGTTGATAACACAGTGTGACACTGTGTGAGCTTTACCTTCGACAGTAACATGGGGAGAGCCATGATGAAGTGCTCCGTCAGCTTATTTCTGTCATCAGTCTGAGTCTTCCTCTCTTTTGCAGTCAACACCTAAACGACATCAGAATGTTCAGTTCATGAAGTCAACTTTATTAATGCATTTACAAATAATACATTCAGAAATCAGGAGAAATAAAAAAATAACAAGCAATAAAAAAAATTACAACCTACCCAGAAAGACTAATATAATGATTACGCAAAACACAAGGGAGCTGACACGCAATCCAATTAATAAAAATCAAATATCATTAAAATCTATAAGGAAGTAGAATCATTTATATAGCTAAACAAAACTATAGCTTTTTTTTAGATGAAAATGGTCAAAAATAGCACTTTTTGGATGAGAAATTGTCCAGGAATTTTGACTGACAGTAACAGGTCTACAATAAAGAGTCACAGTCTAAGAATTTTCTTGGTAATGAAAATTAGAAACAGTAATTAAAACACGGTCAGCGCAGATCCTTTCAAGCACTTTGATCATACACACTCCTTTATGAGGGGCATTAGACACCCGATCTAGAATATCTGTTCATGTGGAGCATCAGGACACCCAAGAACTTCTCCACTGCAGGTCTGATAGCACCTGAAAGCACGACTCGATACACAGAACACAGAAGAACAGAAGCAGAAAGGAAAGTCCCTGCAGCACCGACGCCACCTGTACACTCAGTTTATAAAACGATAAACACAGACACCGAGCAAAAATCTCTAACAATAATGAGGTTCAGTGTATTGATGATCAGACATTTTCTGCTGCAGAGGATGCGGGAATTCAGGGCACAATCTGTAGCTACAAACAGTTTTCGTCAGCTCTGTGTATTTATTTTCAGCTTCTTCAGTTTTTGGTTTTGGTCTTTGGCCAAGGATCATTTGGTGCATTTGTGCATCACCAATAAGAAAATTGTACCTTCTAAAAAACAGGACCCTGGAAAGTGTGTATAAGGGAAATAAAACATGTCCTAGAACAGAACCTTGAGGTACGCCATTTTTGATAATAGATAATAGATAATTCAGAACCATTGGCCAACTGTGTTGCACACAGAGGAATTAGACCTCCGCATTTAATCCATCTGTGCAGTGAAACACCACATACACACTAGTGAACACACACACTAGGGGGCAGTGAGCACACTTGCCCGGGGCGGTGGGCAGCCCTATCCACAGTGCCCAAGGAGCAGTTGGGGGTTAGGTGTCTTGCTCAAGGGCACTGCAGTCACGTACTGTCGGCTCAGGGGATCGAACCAGCGACCT